CCACATTTAGGCTTTTGAGGCTAATATGGTCATCTCTTTGAGGGACAGAAGCTGTGGTTATGACCATCAGATCCAGAGAGCATCAAAGAAAAGTCAAACAGAAGGATGGGGATGAAATAGTTCAAAGGCTCTGATAACTTACTAGGAAGCTCTCTCTCTCTCTCTCTCTCTCTCTCTCTCTCTCTCTGTGTGTGTGTGTGTGTATGTGACAGAGAGAGAGAGAGAGAGAGAGAAAGAGAGAGAGAGAGAGAGTAATCGGGAGAAGTGCTGCCTCAGGACTTCCCCAGTGTGGTCCCAGCCTGGGATCTTTGTGGCCAACTTCCTCAGGGGAATCACTTTCTTGGTTTGACCCCTAACTTCCTGTAACTCTTGAGCCTCACAGCCTCATAGTTCTTAAAGAGAAGGTGTGTGTGTGTGGGGGGGGGAAACCCTGAGAATTTGCTATGATTCAAATACACTCTCTCCGTGCACAGACATCTTAATTAAGCTTCCAAAGGGACAATGCCAAATGCAAATTCTCGATAAGAAAATAACCAGTTTTGCCTTGGCTTTGCACCTTTGAGAAACTTTCATATACAATCCATGTGTGTTCAACAGGAGCTGAAGACAAAAGCAGACTAGGGCTGCATTTGGATACTCAGGAGCCAGCTGCAGCTGCAGCTGCAGAGTTCTCCCATCAAGAAATCCGAAACCCGCCAGCTGCTGAGATTAAAGGAGTGGACCACCACTGCAGGCTATTTCTCCTTTTTGTAATGAGGACACCCATCCTGTTTCCCCACTGAATTTTGGAAGTTCCTAAGTTGTGTGATTCTTTGGCTTCTCTGGTTCTCTTTGGCTTCAGTGTGAACCAGACATTAAGTTCCACCTGAATCAATTCAGATGACTGTTTAGGAGTTAGATGTAGTAGCACATTCCTTTAAAACCCAGCACTCAGGAGGCAGAGGCAGGCAGATCACCAAGTTTGAGGCCATTCTAGTCTACAAAAAGAGTTCCAGGACAGCCAGAGCCACACAAGAAACCCTGTCTGAAGAAAGCAGGAGGGAAGGAGGGAGGAAGGGAGAGAGAGATGAGATTTAAGGCTCAGGCTATAAAGTTGGTGTTAAGGTATCTGAAGCCATTTTGGGATGGAACAAATATATTTTGCAAGTGAGGAAGGCATGTGTAACAGGCCCCAGACCTTAGCAGTCTGTAAAATAGCATGTAGACAATACAACCTGTCACAACTAAAACAAAGGCTGACTCCATCAAAGTCCATATAGTCTGGGAAAGTCTCTAAATGTACTAACCTTGCTTTTTGGCTTCTGTAGTTCTGCTTCTGGCTAACTGTTCTTGTTAACTGAGGTATGTCAACCCAGAACATGGTTTTTGTGCTTAAAAGCTCATCCTGAGGAAGACTGGGGGCTACACTGGGATCCTGAACACCCAGTGTAGTCTCCAGCCAGCTAATAAAGACATTCTATTGGTCTAAACCCTTGTCTGAGAAGTCTTCTCTGGTGAATGCCCCACAACAGATTGCATTTTGAGGGCCATGGGGTTTAAATATTTGTGTTTCCCCCAGAATTTATACTGAAATTTAACCCCCAATGCAAAGATATATAGAGGTATGGTCTTTGGGAAACAGAAGCAAGAAAACGCCATTTTTGAGGCAAATGAAAACTCCCCAAGACACAAAGTATTTTGTTCTACAGTCCAAGCAGACTGCAGAAACTAGACTAATAAATTAATAAATGAATATACTCACCAGGCGTGATGAGTCACATCTGTAATTCCAGCCTGCAGGGCTCTGTGGGAGGAATATTACTTGGAGTTTGAATCTAGCCTGGGCTATAGAGCTAGACCCTGTTTCAAAACAAAAACAAAGAGTTTTTGTTTCAAAACAAAAACAGAGAGGTGTAAAAGCCTGCCCAAGCCTGATGATCTGAGCCTGGTCTCCAGAACCCCTCCTAAAATATCAGATGTCAGATGCAGTGGCCAGCATCTGGACAGAATCTGCTGGAAGCTGGCAAGCAGCAGGCAGGAACAAGATGGATCCCTGCCTCAGCAAGGTAGAACATAAGGACAGATTCCCCAAGATGTTCCTCTGACCTTCACACACACACACACCCCTATTGTGGTGTGCTTATGCCTATACACACACACACACACACACACACACACACACACACACACACACACTGAAAAAAATAACAGGTGTGGTGGTGGTGTGATGGAAAAATTAAAAATTAGGGCTTATGGCAAGAAGGGACAACTAGAGACAACAAGAGTTTCTTCCAGTAGGTAACTCCGTGAGTAGAGTACAGAGCCCACATGCTGTTCTCAGGAGATAAAGCAGGTGTGCTAATCAATCTTGCCTATCCATAATGACCTTGTAAAGAAACTTTGTACTCTATGAAATGTAACCTTGGAAACCTTGTGAGCTGAGCTGAGCAGTCTCTAGCCTCCCTTTCCCTTTCCTCTTTTCAAAACCCTTCCCAATTGTAAGCAGGCACCTTACTCTTCTGATAGAGTGAGGTCTCAGCCAGTTTGGTTCTTAGCAATAAAAACCTTTTGCTTTTGCAGTCGGGAGTCACTTCCTTGGAGGCTGAGGAAACCCGTAGGCACAACAGTGGCACCTTTAGTCCCAGCACTCTGGGTGGAAGAGGTGGGCAGATCCCTAAGAGTTCCAGGTAAGCTAGGGCTACACAGTGAGGCTGACTCACAAGAAAAAATAAATAAAATTTAAACAAAAGAAATTACGTACTTTTTTGCCTTCACCCATATCTTGAAGCGTATTTCCCATTTTTCTTGTGACAGTTTCAGTGTTTAAGAATTGGATCAACTTTGAGTTCTTCCTTGAGCTGAGTAGACATTCACTTTGCAACAATTTGTTGACTAAGCTGTGTTCTTTCCACTACATATTTTTGACACCATGTCAAAAAGTGGCCAATTCAGTCAGTCACTGCTAATATATTCAGACTGGGTGTATTGCTCCTGTCAGATCAAGGGAGGAAGATTGTATCAGGGCCAGACTGAGCAACTTGAGACCCTATCTTAAACCAAAACCAAAACCAAACTCTCTCTCTCCCTCTCTCAAAATATTTTGTCATACCGGGACATTGGTGACACAGGCCTTTAATCTCAGCACTTAAGAGGTAAAGGCAAAACGGGTCTCTATAAATTCAAGGCCAGCCTGATCTACAGAGTAAGTTCCAGGACAGCCAGGGAAGTTACACAGAGAAGCCCCATCTTGAGAAAGCAAACAAAGCTTTCTTCATATATATGTTCATGAAGTTGTATAATCATCTCTACAGTCTAAACCCAGAATATTAAATATTACTTAAAGCGATTAAACCCATTTACAGCCACTCTCTTTTCTGTTCCTTCACAATCAGTCTTCCACTTTCTCTCTGAGGGCTGGGACTGTAGTTCATTGGTAGACAACCAGTACCCTGAGGTGCTATGTTCGAGTACCAACATCACACATACAAAAAGTTAATACTTTCTCTGTATATGTGACTCAGATGAAATTCCACATGTGAGCCCTTGTACCTGGCTGCTTTCCCTGAGTCTGTTTCAAGGTCTACATTGTAGCATAAACTAGCAGTACCTCTCTGCCACCTCCATACCCAAGTGTGGGGATTACAGGCTGCCATGCCTGGCCTTGCTCCTTCTTTAATGACTAATAATGTGGAACATCCCTTCAACTCTTTATTGGCCATTTATATATCATTTTAAAAGAATCTCTGACTGGGCTGGGGATGTAGCCAAGTGGAAGAATGCTTATTTATCACACAGGGCCTGGAATCGGTCCACAGAACCATAGGAATAAACATCTTCCCAAACCTTTTGCTCATTTAAAGCATACATAATAGGAACTAAGGGGTATAGATCCCTGAACTACACACAAGAAAGAATTACATATTTTTAACTTTCAAAAGTATGTTCATTTATAAAACTTTCATTTTAAAATTATTCTGTGTGTAGGGTGAACAGAGCATACATGGATGTCAAAAGACAACTTTGACCTTCTGTGGGTTCTGCTGGGGGTGGAACTCAGCTTGTCAGGCTGGCAGAACCACACATCTCTTTATCCACTGAGCTATCTCATGGGCTCAGCAATTGATTTTTTTTTTTTTTCTTGAGGAGGGTTGAGGCAGGGTTTCTTTGTGTAGATTTGGCTGTCCTGGAACTTGCTCTGTAGACCAGGTTGGCCTCGAACTCACAGAGATCTGTTTGCTTCTACTTCTTGAGTGCTGGGATCAAAGGTGTGCAACAACAGTTGATTTTTTAAAAGGAAAGAAATTTTAAGCCGGAGTTGGTGGCGCATGCCTTTAATTCCAGCACTTGGGAGGCAGAGGCAGGTGGATCTCTGTGAGTTCGAGACCATCCTGGTTTACAGAGCTAATTCCAGGAAAGACTCCCCCACCCTCCAAAAGAGAGAGAGAGATTTTTAAAAAGACACCCTCCAAAGTTGTCTCTTTGGTTGTTGTAGAGTTGTCTTTGTGTCTGAGTTCTTCACATAGAGTCTGAATGCCCTTGCATCATCATCTGTGCTCCTTACAAGTGTTTTCTCCTATCCTAAGGATTGTATTTCACTTTTCTAAAGAAACACCACTCCGTAGCTTGCTCCAGGCTCCTCTCCCCTCCTCCTTGTCACCCACAGTCTTCCTCTGTGGTTCAGCAGCTCAGCTTTAGCGTTATTTCCTGAGCAACCACCTATCATTGGGGGGGGGGTGTTTTTTGTTTTGTTTTGTTTTAGATTATAATATAATTACAATGCTTCTCCCCTCCCTTACCCCATCCAAACCCTCTCTATCTCAATTTGAAGAGTCTTCCGGAGGCTGAGGCTGCTCAGCTGAAGTGGCTGTCACTTAACCGCCTTGCTGTCTGCTCTGGGAAGATGTGAAAATGCAAGCAGGCACAGGAAGTGTATCTAACCTGCTTACACTTCCTCTCTGAACAGAGAGGTTTCACAACCCTGGCAGGAGCATACCCCTCCCTCCACCCCCACCCAGTGTCACCAGCCTGGTGGCCCTGAGAAAGTTACACTGCAAGGGGCCCCATGCAAAAGGCATCACCATTTCCCTCTTCCATCCTGTCTAGGTGGCCAGAAAATCTCAAGAGCTCTCAGAGACTGAGGCTGGACCACAGATCCCTCCTTGGCACAGATGAGTTTCCACATCACCGGCCCCAGACTGTTGCTATTGGGACTCCAGCTGTTTGGTAGGAAATCCAGGAGGGATGGGGAAAGGGACATCGTCTGTGACACGTGGGACCAGAAGGCTTTATAGAGCTGAAGAAAATAAGGGGTCACTCTGAGCGGTGGGTGGTATAGGCGATGTGGGGCCCAGGAACCTCAGAGAGATAATGGGAACCCACACGAGGTCAACGCCTGATAGCAAGGAGAGAAAGGGGCAAGGAAGGAAGCAGCGGAGGTGGGGTGGGTCTTCAGGGTTAGGGAGATGGTTGGTGGGACCTCCCGGGTGGGGAGGAGAATTCAGGGTTGGGTTACTACTCCACCTCTACCGTGTTAGCTGTCCTTGTTCGGAGGCACCACCTCCCTTCACCTGAATAAATAAGATTACCTCATCCCTGACATCCCAGGACACAGGGTTCTAAGTCTGACTCTAAGGAAAGCTGGGCCAGAATGGACAGTTTAGAGTCTGAGGATGACACTCTAGCTGGGAAGGGGAGGGTGTTGAATTCTAAAGGTATAGGAGATACCCTGGCCTGCTGGGTTCCAGAGCTTGAGTTCAGCTCCCTGCTGGGCATAAGATATGAAGATTCAATGAAGTTGTTCTTTGGAGTTCTCAGGTGCTGGGCTTCAAGACCCCCAGAAAAGAGCAGTGTGTGGAGTAGCCACGAACCGCAGGGCACCCTCTTTTGGTCTCTGCCTGGGAACTTGGTCGTTCTCTGCCCGGGGTCCCCTTCCCTGGCTTCTTTCTCATGGGCCTCCACCTCTTACACTTACTTCTTTGCCAATAGTCTAAGGGGAAGTTGAGTCCTTGGGGCCTGTGGGAGACAGACTGTATCATCTCCTATTCTCTAGTATAGGCTCTGGAGGGAAAGCCTGGCACCAGTCCATCTCTGCTTGGGTGTAGGCAGCCTCTGGGTTTGGAGGAAGAGGCCCTGGGGCTGCACGTGGGATGTGGGGTCCAGACAGGAAGCGCTGATTGAGTTTGCTTCCCTCAGCTGAGGCCTGGAGCTACAACCTGGATACGCGGCATGCGCAGAGTTTCTTGGCACACGCTGGGAGACACTTTGGGTACCGGGTCTTGCAGGTCGGAGATGGGTGAGTTGCTACCCTTTCAACTCCCCACCACCACTAGGAGAGTATGCAGGGCTTCACAACCGCCCAAGGTCACAAAGCTGGGGGTAGGGTATCACATACCAGGGGCTGGCCTCACTTCTGCAAGTGTCTGCTAGGTGGCTTTTCGAAAACAGAGACAAGGCTTCCCAATACCACAAAATGAGGGTGATGGGTGATATGCCACATGCGTGCACAGAAACCCTCTCCCCTCCCCTTTCCAAGTCATAGTCTAGTTGAGCACTTAGTAGGCAAGCTTGGTAACTGATGCTTTGTGGGTGCTGCTGCTGCTGTCTGAACACTAGGTCTGTGTGTTTGGCAAGCCCTCCATTGAGTGCACCCTCAGCCTTCATTTCCTTGTTTACTTTGTTTGGAGACAGTCTGTAGACCAGGCCGCTTTCACAATTGCTGCAGCTGAATATAGTCCTGAACTTCTGATCTGCTGGCCTCTACCTCTGGGGTGCTGGGGTCACAGGCAGGTGCCACCAGACCTGGCTTCTTCTTCTTCTTTTTTTTTTTCTTCTTCTTCTTCAAGCAGTTTATTCAGGATCCTTGAACATGCTTCTTCTTCTGACTCCGGGGAAACACCTGCACTCGACCTGGCTTCTTTTTAATTTTATTTTGAGACAGGGTCTTATTAAATTCCCATGACTAGCTTGGGACTTATTCTCCTGCCTCTGTTCTGAGTAGCAGAGATGGCGACAGGCCTGTGTCGCCAAAATAGCTTTAGAGTTGATGAGTTAGTGAACGAGGTCCTAAGGTGTCCACCTGACAGGCCACTCTTCTAGACTGCAAATGGAGAGAAGCTTAAGGCTATTGGGAGAGGGGCCATGGAGGAGCTCCTCTGAAGAGTAAGAGCTGCATTGCACTGGCAGCAAGTTTTTAGCATCCAATTATTATTGTTGGTGGTATGTGTACATGAAGACTATAACATACATGTGGAAGTCAGGACAACCTGCCAGAACCGGTTCCCTCCTTCTACCTTTTGGGTCCTGGAGATCAGATCAGACTCAGGTTGTCAGGCTTCTGAGCACCTTTACCCATGGAGCTGCCTCAGCAGCCAGTCTTGTATTACTCTGAAGCACTGGTTAAGATGTACAGCTGGGAGGTGGTGGTGCACACGGTTACTCCTGATACTCAGGAGGCAGAGGCAGGTAGATCTTTGTGAGTTCAAGGCCAACCTGGGCTACAGAACTAGTTCCAGGACAGCCAAAGCTACAAAAAGAAACCTGTCTTGGAAAAAACAAAACAAAACAACAACAAAACAAAACAAAAGAGCCTAGTGTGCTCTTGAGAGAGAGAGAGGAAAGTTGGAGCTCTGTGAGTTCAAGACTAACCAGGTCTACATAGCAAGTTCTAGGCTAGTCAGGGCTATCTGTATAGTGAAACCCTGTCTCAAGAAAAGAAAAAAAGAAAGGAAGGGAGGAAGGAAGGAAGGAAGGAAGGGAGAAGGAGTGGGTAGGAAATAAGAAAAGAGGGAATTGGGTAGGCAAAGGCCTGGGCAATTTCATCTCACAAGTGAGATTTTCCATCAGCGTTGTTGTGGGAGCTCCAGGTGAGGGGAACAGCACAGGAAGCCTCTATCAGTGCCATCCAGGCAATGGTTCCTGCCAACAAGTCAGCTTGCATGGTGAGTAAGGAGGGAAAGGGATGGGAAATGGGGTCCCAGGGAAGCTGAGCATGCCCCCAACACACCTGATGGCCTGAGCTCCTCCATACTGCCTTTCTGGTGCATGCAGGTTCTAACTATACCTCCAAATACTTGGGAATGACCTTAGTGACAGACACCACCAACGGAAGCCTTTTGGTAAGAATTTTGTGTGATACAATCAGGACCCGGGGAGCAGAGCACTAGGAAAGAGAGGCCAAATATGGGAATATAGACCTGTAATCCCAGCACAGGAGCAGCTGAGACAGCCTGGGCTACATAATGAGACCCTGTCTTAGAAAAAAGAAATAGATAAAAGATCCGATAAAGTGTTAGCAGCATCAGAGATTATGATAACCCTGATGCTTTCTGAGAACTGACTAGGAACCAGTGTCTTCCTTCCTTTTCTCAAGGGCTGGCCTCAAACTTACTCCATAGCTGGGGTTGACCTTGAACTACTAGTCCTCCTGCCTCTGATGAAGCTATACTGCACATCTACATACAGGCTACTTAATTTATTTTTAATGTTCTGATAGTTGCAAATTTGTACAGTTTGAGTGGATTATTGTTTTCATTGACACAGGGTCTTGTTACGTAGCCCAGGCTGGCTGTCTCTTGCTTCAGCCTCCCCAGTGCTGGGAGAGCAGGCATGTGCCTCCATGCCCCATGTGATGCAGGGTTTATTTGTAAGTTGTTTAATTAACTACAATTACAGTTCAGGTACTGTGCTAGATTACATGGGGTAAGGCTGTACGATACAAAGACATACAAAGGACAAAGTCTTGTCTATAAATTGCAGTCTGACAGAAAAGACGGTAGTTGTAAATGCAAAGAGCAGTACTGTCTATTCTGGAAAAGTGGGGTTTTTATATGGTGAATGAAGGGTGTGTGGTTGGAAGGGATAGTCCTGGAAATGTGGGGCAATACCCAGCTGTGCACAGAACATGTGATGAACTAAGGAGGTTAGAGTCATTCCATAGATGCTAGTGTTATAGAACACTAGCTCTGGGGATGCAGAGACCCTTACAGGCAGAAATGCTTTGCTTTGAAAACCATTTGGACTGGGCATAGTGGCACCCACCTTTAATCCCAGCACTTGGAAGGCAGAGGCAAGTGGATCTCTATGAGTTCGAGGCCAGCCTGGTCTACATAGTGAGTTCGAGGCCAGCTAGGATGGTTACAGGGAAGCTGTCTTGGAAAAAAAACAAAAAACAAACAAACAAAAAAAGGAAAACCATTTGGAAATGAAGGAGGTGACAGGGTTCTGAATGTTCTTATTCTCTGATGATAATGCCTGAAAGACACGTAACACAAGGAAGCCGTAACTTTTCCCCTTTGCTGCCTTCAGGCCTGTGATCCTGGACTGTCTCGGACATGTGATCATAACACCTACCTCAGTGGCCAGTGTTACCTCTTTCCCCAGAGTCTGGGGGGACCTATGTTACAAGGGTATCCTGCTTATCAGGGTAAGGAATTGGAGACCCCATGGGTAAAATACCTCTGAGGGGGAGCTGACTTCCACAGGAGCCAGCCCACAAGCTTGTTTTCATGTGGTCTTTGCAGAATGTATTAAGGGCAAGGTCGACCTAGTATTTCTGTTCGATGGCTCAATGAGCTTGGAGAAAAATGACTTTGAAAAAATCTTGGACTTCATGAAGGATGTGATAAGGAAACTCAGCAACACTTCCTACCAGGTATATCCACACATCGGGACCCTTAGTTGCAGATCCAAGATGTCCACCTGCCAGGCAGTGGTGGCACATGCCTTTAATCCCAGCACTTGGGAGGCAGAGGCAGGCGGATCTCTGTGAGTCAAGGCTAGTCTGGTCTACAAAGCTACACAGAGAAACCCTGTCTATAAAAACAAAATAAAGTAATATTCCAAGATGCCCACCTGAACTGGCTTACACCATTAGTGGGAAACATATTGTGAGGTGTGTGTCCAGAATGCACAGTTGTGCCTATACCTCTGGGGACAAAAGAACCAGTGGTCAAAAGCTGCCCTGTGCTCTGTGGCAGTATTTTGTGCTTGTCTTCATCTTTCCACTTTCTCTGTAGACAGGTTGCTGTCTCTCTTTAGATTTCCTAGCCTGTAGTAAGCTCCTGAATTTGCATGACAAAGTTCCAAAAGAGCACTTTAAACTTCCTCTCCACTGAGTCCTCCTGCAAAGTCCTGGCTCTAAAGAGATTCTGACTGATCCAGCTGTGTCTGGCAGAGCTAGTTTAGGGCTTCACAGACATAGACACAGGCTGGGAGACTGGGAGACTGGGAGCTGTCCATCCTGGTGAGTTAGGTGGGCCCAGAGAGAGGCAGTTAGCTGAGTGTCAATGCTTGCCCAGCAATGGCAAGGTCCTGGGCTCCAGTGACTCCATACTGTTTCTTCCTTTCTTTCCCAGTTTGCTGCTGTTCAGTTTTCCACATCATACAAAACAGAATTCACTTTCTTGGATTATGTTAAACAGAAGGACCCTGATGCTCTGCTACGTAATGTTAAACACATGTGTTTGCTGACCAATACTTTTGGCGCCATCAACTATGTAGTGTAAGTTCCCTTTGGAGGAAAGACGTGTCCATGTCTCTTCATCAGTTCTATGTGACCCAGCTCTTCCAGCAGCATAATGCTGGAGTCAATGGGCAGGGGCAGAGTGTGGCGGTTTTTGTATAAATTCAAGTGAAGAGGAGCATGTGGTTAACCCATGCCTTAATTGCAGCCTGGGGAAGCTTCTGCAGGAGGATTCCAGATTTTATGGGTTTGAGGCCAGCCTGGGTTACATAGTAAGACCTTGTCCAAATAAACATTTTTTTTTAATTGGGGGACTTGAAACATGGCCCAACTGTTAAAAGACTTGTCTTGCAATAGTAAGGACCAGAGTTTGGATCCCAACACCCACATAACAAGTCAAGTGTCCAGTGTATACTTGTAACCCCATTTTAGTCGGAGACAGAGACAGAAGGATCAGCAGGGGCTTGCTGGTTTTCAGTCTAACTAAGAACACTTGAGCCCTGGGTTCAAGAAGAGATCCTGCTGCAAAAAATATACAAAAAAATATACATTAGGTTTTCTTATGACCTCCACACAAGTGCATGAGAATGTGCACACACACACATAAATGTTTAGAACAATTCCCCCCTACCTTGGGTCAGGCATAAGGGTGCCTCCTTGTAATCCTAGCTGCTCAGGAGATTGAGGCAAACATCAGTTGAGCCCAGTGTGTGTTCAGACAACATAGTGAGACCCCCCAATCTCCAAAAACCAAAGCAGCAGCCAGGTGTAGAATTACACGCCTTTAATCCCAGCACTCAGGAGACAGAGGCAGGAGGATCTCTGTGAGTTTGAAATCAGCCTGGTCTACACAGTAAGTTCCAGAACAACAAGAGCTCTGTAGAGAATCCCTGTCTCAAAAAAACAAAACCAAACCAACCAACCAACCAAATAAAAAGTAAAATGGGCTGGGGAGATGTCTCAGCAGGGAAAAGTGGCAGATGTGTGCATTTGGTGACGAGTTCAGATGCCTAGACTCCATGTGTAGATCTGAGGTAGTGGGACTTGTCCCTTTGAAAGTGCTCTGGGTGCTGCTCTGTCTCTCCTGGGGCTGAGTTCATTTCCCTAATAGAGGGTGTGGTGGGGACGAGGCCTAGCCACATTGACATGAAAGTTAGCAGTCTCAGTCCCTCAATTCAGATGTGCAAACCTCAATTCCGGTTTCCAGGAGAGAAAATGTACTTAGTTGAGCCTGATTTGGGTGTTCCAGGTCCGCTCAGCTTTGCCCTGGATCTACTTTAAGTGTGCTCAAACGACACCAGCATGGATGCTGGAGTCTCCCCACTATGGGAAGGGGTATTTACTTGCTTATTTGTTTAAGACAGAGTCTTGCTATTTAGTCTTCACTGGCTTGGTATTTACTATGCAGCCCAGGTTTGCCTCAAACTTAAGGCAATCCTCCTGTCTCAGCCTGCCTCATGCTGGGATGACAGGCACACTCAATATGAGAGGAAAAAAGGTGTCAAACCTTTGACCTCTGTGTGTGTGTGTCAAACCTTTGACCTCTGACTGTCCTGGGCAGCGCCCTGTAACCGAGTCAGAACTTTGCCAGCTTTTTCTACACAAGACCAGAGAATAAATCCTTCAGTGTTCTGTCTGTAGGTGGCATCTGTTGAATATTATTCGTTGTTTGACTTTATATCCTTTCAGGATTAAAAAAAAAAGTTTCTCTTAGCTAGTAGACTGGGGACAGGCTGGACGTTTTGAGTGGAGGACTGTTTGCCAAGCTCTAGGCACTAGGACCCCTAGGAAATGAAGCTTCTGCCCTCTGGGAGCTCAACATTTCAGTAGGAGCGAGAAACATAATAAACAAGATAAATAAGCAAGTTTTATAACACAGCCTATGTACATGCCATACAGAAAAGTAAAGCAAACTGCATAGGAAGGTCAGAGAGGGAACTTTGGCAGAAAACAGCAATTTGAGACAGGCTTTCTTTCAGATAGCCCCATGCTGGCCTCAAACTCACGGTGCAGACAAGGATGGCTTTGAACTCGTGATCTTGCCTCACTCTCTCAAGTGCCAGGATTACACCCTGCTAGAGAGGGGTCCTGTTGATAAGACTTCCTGGATGTGAGGACCTGAGCTGTGTGGGCCCACAGGAAGCATTCCATCATTCTCACAGATCTCTAAGATCACAAACTGATAATGAGAAAGGTCTCTTGAATCCACTGTTTTGGCAACTTCTATGCATGCTGTAGAGATTGGAACCCAGGGCCTCATAGTGTAGACAAGCATGTACCAGTTCCCACCCTTGGCTGAGTTTTGGAAGCTCCTATCCGTGGTCATCCAGGTCCTACCGCTTTGGGCCATGGCAGGAGGGCAGGACAGAAAGAAACTGCTCAGCCAGTGGCTCAGACACCAAGGAGGGAAAGTCAGGGTCCTGGTATCAAGGCCTCACTGAGTCCCACTTCCTAAAAGTTCCTCCAGCTGCCAAAAGTGCCCTCAGGAGACCAAGCCTTGGGGAGGACACTTAAGAGCCAACTTCAGCACATTTGGAATGTTCAAGAAGAACCAAATGTGGGGGTACACACCTCTGATGTCAGCACTCTGGGGGCAGAGGGAGGATTGCTGCAAGCTCCAGGCCAGCCTGGGCCACATGGGGAGCTTAGTCAGCTAGATCTTACATAGTGCAGCTCTGTCTCTAAAAGAGTGTTGGAGAGACAGCTCAGTGGTTCAAAACATGTATGACTTCTGGAGAGGACCCAAATTTAGTTCCCAACACCCACACTGGACCACTTGTGACTCCAGCTCCAGGAGCTCAAACGCCCTCTTCTGGCCTCTGCAGGCACCTGTACTCAGGTACACATGCCCCCATACAGACACATGTAAATACATATAATTAAACTAAAAGTAAAAAGTTTGAAAAAAGAAGAGGGAACCAGGCTGCCTATGTGGCTGTGGAGAACGAAGAAGAGGGCACATGGCAGCAGATGTGGTCAGAGGCGTGGCGGTGGTAGTTCAAAGGAGAGAGGACTTAGTCTGTAGTGAGGACTTGGCATCCCCAGAATAAGTCATCAGAAGTTTTGAGTAGAGACGCAATGGTCTCTGCTCATTTGTCTTTTGCTTTGATTTTGGAGATATAGTCTCAGGCTTGTAGCCCAGGCTGGCTCCTAACTCACAGTCCCCCAGCCTTGACCTCCCAAGTCCTGGGATCAAAGGCATACATATACCATGGTACCCAAATCTGACTTATATTCTTAATGAGATTCTTCTTGGGTTGAGTGTTGTGGTACATGCCAGCATTCTGGAGTGGAGGCAGGTAGATTTCTGGGAGTTTGAGGGTAGTCTAGTCTACATCATGAGTTCTAGAGCTGCCAGGGCGACACAGTAGTGAGACCCTGTCTCAAATGTAGATAAATAAAATAGAAAGAAGATGATTTTTCTGCTGCAGCAGAGCCAGAGTCAGCCAGATGTGGTGGGGAGGAAAATGTGGCTGAAAATTGCTTGCTTAGAAAAAGTGACTCCAAATTTCTCTGGCCATGGAGTCCTTTTCGGGCCTGGAATTTTATATAGAGTAACACCTATAGCTGACTAAATTGTGGTTGTCACGTGATCAGAATGGAGGGTAGGCAAAACCCAGGGTCACCCCTCCTCAAGCTTCCCAACCGATATACATGAACTCAGGGGCACACCTCTGGGCTACCCAGAATTGAGTGAAGCCCACCAATCCAGAGGGAGAGGTGTTAGAGGGTGGGGCATGGGGCTTAGGAAACCTGCTTGGTAGATTGGAGAAAGGCTTCTGCTTGGTTGAGTAGCGAGGGGGCGGAGGGGGAGGCCTTGGGCTCTGCCTTGAGAGGCATCGTACTTTCCCCTTCCTCGGACACAGGACAAACGTGTTCAAAGAAGAGTCTGGTGCCCGGCCAGATGCTACCAAAGTGCTAGTCATCATCACAGACGGTGAAGCTACTGACACTGGGAACATCGATGCAGCCCAAGGCATTACCCGTTACATCATCGGGGTATGGTCCCCAGACCCACGTGGTGTCCCCTCTTCACCGTGTGCCAAGGTCTTCTGACTGGTAGAAGGGTGCCAAAGCTCTCCCTCTCCTCCCTCTCTTCCCTCACAGATTGGAAGGCATTTTAAAACCACAAAAGGACAGGAGAGTCTTCACATATTTGCCTCCAAACCCACAAAGGAATTTGTCAAGATTCTGGACACATTTGAGAAGCTCAAGGGCCTATTTGATGACCTTCAGAGGAGGATTTACATGATTGAGGGTGAGTCTCAGACTCTGGCAGTGGGGAGGAGGGGCTGGAGAGAGAGCTCACCCCACCGTTGCTGAGTGTGGGCCCCCAGACATAAGACAGGCAACCTGGCAGAAGCCAGCAGGAGGAGCCCACAGGCACCGGTCTGGATGACACTGGCAGATGGAGCACTGAAAGTGGGGACATTTCTCCAGACAGCCAAGTGTGCTTGTAGGAACCAGGTCCACAGGGAAGTGCCTGTGCCTGACACAGCCTCAGTGTGCAACTCAGGAAGACACACTGTGTGCATAGAGTGGGATCAGGTGGACTTGGACAAGGATCCTTGCTTGCTTCTTACTTGCTGTGTGACAGAGCTTTCTTCTCTGTTTACTTTGTTCTTTTCTGTTAAATGAGAACAATAAGGGTCAGTTGGAGCTGTACATGTCTTTAGTCTCAGCACGCAGGAGGCAAAGGCAGGAAGAGTTCAAGACCAGCTTGATCTATATAGTGAGTTCCAGGACAGACAGGACTACCTAGAGAGACCCTGTCACAAAAGGAGGAGGAGGAAAAAGAAGAGGAGGAGGAAGAAGAGGAAGAGGAAGAGGAAAAGGCAAAGGAAGAAGAAGGAGAAGGAGGAGGAGGAGGAGAAGAAGAAATCAGTTATTTATGGATGCAAAACTCAGCTGCTGTCTTAGTCCCTTATGGCCTCTTTAACAAAGTATACTAAAGACTAGTTGGTTAAAAATAACCCTTAGTTACATTTCTGTTGCTGTGATATGATGGCTAATGCATCCTACAACTGTATAACTCTTTTGAAAAACATGTAGTATTTTTTTTTAATCTTTGAGAATTTCATACATATATAAAATTTTATTTTAGTATTGGGTGTCCTGGAATTCACTCTGTAGACTAGGCTGCCTTCAAACTCACAGAGATACACCTGCCTCTGCCTCCCTGATGCTGGGATTAAAGTTGTGCACCACCACACCTGACTTAATATATAGTAAATTTCAATCATTCCCCTACTCTCACCCTCCAGTTCCTTCCAGACCCACCCCTCACCTGGCCTTCTCTCAATTTCTAGTCCTCATTGAAACCAAAAAAAAAAAAAAAAAAAAAATCCCAAAACTAATGCCTGAGTCCCCTTTGTATTGCCTGTATGTACATAGGCTTGGGGCCATCCACTGTATAGTCAGACCCTTGAAAAACAATGATTCCATAACACTTACGTTGATGCTTTCTGCCTTGTCCCAAGGTCAATGTTGTAATGTTGTGTGTCTATTTCTTTTTTCTTTTTGAGGCAGGGTTTCTCTGTAGCTTTGGAGGCTGTCCTGGAACTCGTTCTATAGACCAGGCTGGCCTCGAACTCAGAGCTCTGCCTGCCTCTGCCGGGAGTGCTGCCACCACCCAGCAGTGTTGTGCCTCTTACTGTTCCCACAGGTGTCTCCCTTCTCATTGTTCCTTTGGTCTACTTTGTCTCTCAGGCACAAACTTACAAGACCTGACATCGTTTAACATGGAACTCTCCTCCAGTGGGATCAGCGCAGACCTCAGCAAGGTGCACAGCAATGAGATGATGAGATGGGGGGTGCCATCCGCTCGGCTGACTCAGGGTGACACTCGACCTTTTCCTCTCCTTCCCCGAGCAGGGCCATGCAGTTGTGGGAGCAGTTGGAGCCAACGACTGGGCTGGGGGATTTCTGGACCTGGATGTAGACTTGCAGGATGCCACATTTGTTGGGAACGAACCACTAACGTCAGATAAAAGAGCAGGTTATCTGGGTGAGCACCTTGCTTTTCTGCTGTTTTGTTCTGGTTGGAAAGACTGGAAAGTTGCTCAGACTAGCTTTCAATTAACAGTGGGAACTACCCTCCCTCCCTCCCTCCCTTCCTTCCTTCCTTCCTTCCTTCCTTCCTTCCTTCCTTCCTTCCTTCTTTCTTTCATTTTTTTGAGGGAGAGGAAGGTTTGAGGCAGGGTCTGATCTAGTTCAAGATGGTTTGGAACTCACTGCAAGCCTGTTATTTAATTTCGCAAAAATATTACAGGTGTGAATATTTTTGTGAGACAAACTGTTACAGATTCTAGATTGTATATGAATGCCACAGCGCATGTTTGGAGGTCAGAGGACAACTTGCAAGAGTTGGTTGTTGTTTCTACCATGTGTATCCCAGCGATCGAACTCAGATCATGAGTTTGGTGCAATAGCTTTTACCTGCTGAGCCATCTCACCAGCCCAGTTTTACTTAATTTCAAGAGTTCTTTTCAACTAGGCATGATGAAGGCACAAGCCTGTAATCTCAGCACTTTGGGAGACTGAGGCAAGAAGACTGTGAGTTCAGAGGCCATTGTGGTCCAAACAGAAAGATTCTGTCTGAAAAAGAAAGTGGGGGTTGGGGAAAACTGGGGAGAGAACAAGAAGATTAACAATGCTTTTTGCTCATGCTGAGGATCATGGTTCAGTCCCCAGCATCTACACTGGGAGACTCACACCACCTGTAACTCCAGTGCCAGGGTCTCTGATACCTTCTTCTGACCTCCCAGGGTGCACATGTACCTGCTCTCTCTCTCTCTCTCTCTCTCTCTCTCTCTCTCTCTCTCTCTCTCTCTCTCTCTCTCTCATGCCTGCTGAGGTCTCACCCTGCACAGCTCCAGGCTACTGGTCCACCTGAGGAGCTCTCCCCAGGCTGCCCTGGGTCCTCACCCTGATGCTCTTCAGTTGACGCTGTACAGCGGGCCTTTCCTCTCTCTGGCTGCTCTTCTGATGTTAGCTCTCACTAGTGGCATGCTAAGTGCTTCTGTCTCTGGTCGTATCTGTGGTCTTATCTGATTCTCAGAACCACTTCCACACAGTGGGTGTTGTTCCTTTTTTTTAAAGATTATAAACAGACTAAGAGGTTTGGAGTGATTGTTACCCGGTCATACAGCAAGGAAGTGACAGGCCTGGGATTTAAGCCCTGCCGCTGATTCCCAGGGCATCCTTCGGGCTTGTGCTTCAGGAACACATTAGTGATGAGATTCAGTTTCTTTGCCCTCCTTTCCTGTGCCTTTCTTGTTTTCAGCTGTTATACAAAAAGTTTTAGATAGACTCCTTTTTAAAATTAATTCTTTTTATTTTATGGGCATTGATGTTTTGCCATGGGTGTCGGATCCGCTGGAACTGGAGTTATAGATAGTTGTGAGTGCCATGTGGGTGCTAGAGAATTGAACCTGGGTCCTCTGGAAGAGCAGTCAATGCTTTCAATCACTGAGCCATCTCTCTAGCTTATTGGATAGACTCTTGAACTGTATTTACATCTGGTTTTATTTTTTTTGGGGGGGTGACAAATTTCCCCACCTGGAACTCATTGTGTAGATCAGGCTGGCCTCAAAATCAAAGACACAGCTGCCTCTGCCTCCCACGTGCTGGGGTTAAAGTGCCCAGCTGCATATTTACTTTTATTTGTTTATTGTGGCAACACCCAGAGCAGCAGCTTGGGGAGTGGGGTGGGGCATGTGCCTTCTTTTTCCTGCCAAGCCTTATCAAGGTTTGTTATTGGCCCCAGCAGGGGTGGGGGGTGGGGACTTCACAGCCTGCTTGATCTGGCCTTGCCCACAGTGCACAGGTTCTTGCTGTCTTCTTCAAAGTGGGCAGGAGAACTAGGGTGCTCTTCTGCCTCCAGAGCGACCAGTTTGGGTCACCAGAAAGTGGGTGGGTGACATGTGGTCACCTTAGGGTGGCTGTGGGTGTCATTCGGCACTGCTTGTGGTTTCAGCTTTGAGAAGGATGGGAGTTTCCTTTTCACTCTTGGTGCCATTTTGGTGAAAGGATTTTTGTTTTTGAGACATTTTGAGGCATCATTTTTATCATATGTGTATAGTTTTGTCTGTATGTCTGTGTACCGCATGCATGTAATGCTCTTGAAGGCCAAAAGAGGGAGCCATATACCCTGGTACTGTGAACCACCATAGGTCCTGGGACTCAAACCTGGGTCCTCTGAAAAAAAGCAGCCAGTGTTCTTAACTGCTGAGCCAGCTCTCTGGCCCTAAAAAGGGTTTCTCACGTGTCCTTCCCTTCCCTTCCTTTTGGTGTGAGTAGACGGGGCTGATGTGGAACTTGCAGATCCCTGCCTAAAATGCTGAGAACAAGTGCGCCAGTGCATCAACTTTGCCAGGGTTTCTCTGTGTAGCCCTGGCTGTCCTAGAACTGTACACTGGTGGGGAAGGCATGGGGGCAGGAGTTTGAGGTAGCCGGTCACAATTCATCTCTGAAAGATACATTATTACTTTTCCTTCAGTCCTGGGACTCGGCATGAAATGGCACTGCCCACATCAGGTTGGGTCTTCCCTGCGGTTAAACCTTGGGGTGGGGGGGAGAAACGGCTTCAGTGACTTAGAGCACTGACTGCTTTTACAGAGGACTGGGGTTTGCGTCCCAACACCCACATGGTGTCCCACAACCATCTGCAACACCAATTTCAAGGGATCTGACACCCTCTTCTAGTCTCCATGGTTGCTAAGTATAGCACATGGAATACATGTGTATATACAGGTAAAATATTCATATACATGAAATAAAATAAGTCGTGCACAGCAGACATTCTGTGTTCATCGGCACATGGCTGGCTGTTCCCTGGGTTAGCAGGTTGTCCACAACTGAGAAGTTCAGGGGTGGTAAGGCTGTTCAGTGTATGTGGCTGCCTCTCTTATGGAAAAGGTCTTCTGGCTATTTCCATGTATCTTGGTTATGAGCTCAATGTTCTGGGCTCTCAGTCTCCCAGCAGCCTTTGCGCTCCTAACTCCAAGTCTCCCGCCTCTGTCTCACTAGGCTACACCGTGACCTGGATGCCCTTCCGTAGCTCCATGTCTCTACTGGCCGTGGGAGCCCCACGATACCAGCATGTGGGACAAGTACTGCTCTTCCAAGCACCCAAAGCCGGAGGACACTGGAGTCAGATCCAGAAAATAGAAGGGACTCAGGTGAGAGTGACAGGGAGGGCATCAGCCACTGCAACATGAGTGATGAGTCATTGTGTGGGAGGAATGGTGTTTGCTGCTTAGAACAGCCTCTGAGGTAAACTGTCCCTACACCCCTCTCCATCTTAGGACACTGACCCTCCAGGGATTCACCTCCTCTTAATCCACATAAGCTCAAGGGTGCCACCTAGACCTGACCCTGCATTTACGATGGGGGAAGGTGGACATGGTGCAGCTGAGGGGTCAGGGCTGGGGGGATCTGCACCTCCTGCTGGCCCGGCTGACTCTTCTCTGGATTCCTTCCTATCCCACAGATTGGATCTTATTTTGGTGGGGAGCTATGTAGCGTTGACTTGAACCACGATGGTGAGACAGAGCTGTTGCTGATTGGTGCACCCCTGTTCTATGGGGAGCAGAGAGGAGGCCGAGTGTTCATTTACCAGGGAAGAGAGGTGAGAACCAGGACCCACTGAGGCAGGAAGCTCTGCTCTGGTCTGGGTTATTCCGAAGGGCTACCCCTTGGCTATGCCAACCAAACCCTTTAAACACCAAACAGCAGCTGATATAGCCTTTGGGGTCTATTGTGCAAGGGCCAGTGGTAAGTGGTTTGTATACATGGCCTCGTTTCATTGTTTGATTACCTCCTAAGCACCTCCCAGCCTAATGTTACAGATGTGAGCACAAGGCTCGGGATGCTCCCTCATTTCCCAGAGCTACAAGGTCATGCACACAGAAGCAAACTGGGCTGTCAGTGTGACAGTGGCATTGGCCACACCTTTTTTTTTTTTTTTTTTTTTTTTTTTTTGTGCTCTTCAATGTACTGACCGCAATGCCACATTCTGGGAAAGTTTGCTGAGGTTAAGGGGTTAAGGTATGAACTGTCTCCTTTCCCATGAAGGTGTTCAACATGGTCTCAGAGCTGCAGGGTGACCCTGGCTACCCACTTGGGCGGTTTGGAGCTGCCATCACTGCCCTGACAGACATCAATGGGGATGGATTGACAGATGTGGCCGTGGGAGCCCCTCTGGAGGAGCAGGGGGCTGTGTATATCTTCAATGGGCAGCCTGGAGGGCTCAATCCCCAACCAAGCCAGGTAAGGTACCCTGAAGCCTCCAAGCTCCTGGCCCAGTCTGAGCCTGGCCTCTCCCAGTTTAGCATCCATTTCTTTTTTGCTCCCTCCCAGAGAATACAAGGAACCCAGGTGTCCCCAGGAATCCAGTGGTTTGGACGCTCCATCCATGGGGTGAAGGACCTTGGAGGGGACAGGCTGGCAGATGTAGTTGTAGGAGCTGAGGGCCGAGTGATTGTGCTGAGGTAAGATGGGCTTCCTGTGACACTCTGACCAGTGTGCCTCTCTTCTTCCCTGCAGTCTGGGGGCTCTGTACTGCACCCTTGGAGGCCGGCCTGCCCTCCATCATGGTTTCCATGCTTCACCCCAGGCTCAGCAGTCGCTACTGAAAGACAGAGAAGAGATTTGAATCCAAGTCTCGCTGTTCCTAAAACCATTGTATAATGTTAAAATCTGCTGCTTTGGGTTCTTGGAACCCAAGCTTCTCCATTTTTGAAGTGGTGGTGACATTTCCTGCTTTGTTAATGACATGGCACAGGGAATAGATATTATTACATATTATGCCTTTAAAAGTTATTTATGTTCACTTGTGTGTCTGTGTGTGTGTTTACTCTCAGGCACATGCCACACCACATGTAGGGATCAGAGTACAACTCGTGGAAATCATTCCTCTCCTCCTACCCTGTAGGTCCCAGGGATCAAACTCACGTTGTCAGGCTTGGAAGCAAGCTCCTCTCTACCTTCTGAGCCCTCTTGCCAGCCCCCTTTTTGCTTTTGTGGCCGTGCTGGGAATGGAGACCAGAGCCTTGTGCGGGCTAGGAAGTGTTCCATCATTGTGCTCCACCCTTAGCCTGGTCGCCAAACTTTTTTGTTTTGTTTTGTTTTTTACTTGGGGATTTTGTTTAGGGTGACAATGGAGCACAGGCTGGCTTAAAGCTCACTATGGTAGCCCAAGCTGTCCTGGAGGTCAAGGTCTTGGTGCCTCTACCACCATGCTCAACACCTGCCATATCTTGAACACTGGGTCAGACTCTGGGCCCCGAGTGTGTGTGAGGATACATATAATGAAAACTTAAAGTTGGGCTGCTGAGGGCTACAAGGAGGCGGGCAGGCTCCTGGGAGACAGTAGTGTCTACAGCCTGTTGCAGATCTGGGCCTCTCTGCGGGGCTGGTGTTAGAGCTGAGACTGAAAGTTGAGAATGTGTAGGCTGGCAGAAGCCTAGGTTAAGAGCTTTCTAGAAATCTCAGCATGTGCCAAGGCCATACGGAAGGTGGAAGGCTGACAGGAAGGAGGGGAAGTGTGACTAGAATGTGGTTGTCCCAAGGGCACTGTGGTAGGAAATAAGATGTTGAGACAGGCAATAGACACATCATGGGTAATATAAAGCTTGACATTTATTCTGAATTTATATGGCATGACCTGGTCTACATAGTGATTTCCAGGTCAATCAGGGCCTACATAGTAAGACCTTATATCTGTCTGTCATATGGCAGTGGGCACAGTCTCTAAGGCCATTTTATAGCATAAAACCAAGCATAGAGCTGTGCCATGTGGCATGAGTGGGTATCTCTCTCTTTCTCCCTGTCTCCCTCTTAGGATCTCACTAGCCTAGGTTATGGTCTTTCTGTCTCGTGCCTAATGGTGCTTGTAGGTGTGTGCTGCTTCAGCCCCCTGATTTCTCTTGTTTCCTCTCTCTCTCCAAAACACTTGTGCATGAGGGTGTGCATGTAGGGGAGTCAGAGAACAACTGATGGGGTTGGCTTTCTCTTTCCACCATGTAGCTTCTCTAGACTCTGAACCCAGGGATCCAGCTTGGTAGCAAGTGCCTTTACCTGCTGACCCAAACCATTGACAGCCTTTTTGAAAATTATGTTTATTGAGTTGTTTGTGGTGACACAGTCCTTCAGTCCCAACACTTGGGAGGCAGAAGCAGGTGGATCTTTGTGAGTTCAATTTCAGCCTGGTCTACAGAGCAGTTCCCAGGCCAGCCAAGGATATATGGTGAAACCTTATCTCAAAACCAAGAAATTACGTTTATTTGTTTATATATATATATATAGTGTGTGTGCACGCGCGCACGCGCGCGTGTGTGTGTGTGAATGTGTGCTCACGCTCACACATGTGTGTGCCATGGCACAAATGTGGAGGTCAGAGTACAATTTATAGGACTCTGTTCTGTTTCTACCATGTGGGTCCTGGAGACCAAACTCTTGTCATTAGTCTAGATGGTTAGCACCTTTATCCCTACTAAGCCATCATCTCACTGCCTGGTTTCTCTTTTTGCAAAGATAACTTCTTTATGGAAAAGTGGGCCGCAAGGCTAGTGAACTAGGGAAGCCGTAGTTGTCACTGCTGCTATGACTGAGGGACTTCTGACAATGAAGTGGGAAGAGAGTACTCTGTCCTCTGCTGGACAGAGCTCCCAAATGTGGAGTGTGCTCAGGGAGAGGCTTATGGTTTTCTGCTCTGCAGCTCGAGGCCAGTGGTGGATGTTGTCACTGAGATGTCCTTCTCTCCAGACGAAATCCCGGTGCAGGAGGTGGAGTGCTCCTTCTCAGCCAGCCAGGAACAGAAGGAAGGAGTCACACTCAATGTGTGCTTCCAAATACAACCTCTCACATCTCAGTTTCAAGGTTAGTGTCACCCTCCTGCTCCCAGAAGAGCTGCCAGCATGGGGAGGACCCTATCACTCAATTCTTGCCTTCCTCTGTGCCCAGGTCACCTGCTTGTCAACCTTAGCTACACCCTGCAGCTGGATGGCCACCGGTCGAGGAGCCGAGGTGTATTCTCAGGAGGGAGCCATGAGCTCAGCGGGAACACATCTGTCACCCCAGATAAATCCTGCCTGGGCTTCTCCTTTCACTTCCCGGTAAGGGAGCTGACGCTGGTGCTCTGGGAAGCGCTGACTGACTGCACGAGAAGCAATGAGGGGACAGCTGTGACAAGTGACTTTGTTTGTTTTGCTTTTGTTTTTCAAATCAGAGTTTCTCTGTGCAGTCCTGGCTGTCCTGGAACTCGCTCTGTAGACCAGGCTGGGCTCCCTCACAGAGATCCGCCTGCCTCTGCCTCCTAGTGCTCAGATAAAAGGTGTGAGCCACCACACCCAACCCCCTCCCCAATTAATTACTTAGTTAATTAATTAATTTTCAAAGGTTTATTTGCATATGTATTTATGTATTTTCTGAGTGCTCTGCCTGCATGTGAACCTGCACATTAGAAGAGGCATCAGATCCATTATAGATGGTTGTGAGCCACTGTGTGGATGCTGGGAACCGAACCCAGGACCTCTTGAAGAGCAGCCAGTGCCCTTAACCCCTAACCCTTCTCACCAGCTGTTGGCCCAATTTTTTTAAAACATTATTTTGGACAGTTGCTAAAATGTCCAGATGGAGTTTGCTTGTTGCTTGTGTTAGGTTTCTTCTCTGGGGCATCAAGCATATAGAACCAGACCATTAGCCAGGTACCAGCATCCACCCTGAACAATTATCTATTCTCAGTCAGGGTTTGCTCCCAACTAGTACTGTGTCCCTCTGATCCTCGCACCCCACCCTTTTAACTCTGGAAACTTAAGGCGTACATTTGCCAGAGAAGACAGCAATATGACACGGGGAACCTTGAGCTCTGGATCTGGGTATGTGGGTTCTTGGCTCTGTTCCTCTCAGTTCTAGGTCTGAAGACAATCACGTCAGTTTTGAGAGCTGTTTCCCTCATTCTGAATAGGGAATGATTGTGCCCATCTCTTAAGATCAACATGCTCCCTAGGCATAGTTGAAACTAAGAGCCTACCTAGGCTGTTACAGTCACTAGTAATGACAAAGGTCTGAACCAAGCTCTGTGGTCAAAGGAGAAATAGCCTAATTGTTCTGGAATATTTTTGCATGAAATTTGATAATGGCTGTATCAAATTTATATATACATAATATTATTAAATAAATGTGTTTATATAATACATGTGTATATAATATACATATTATATAGGTAAACATATATTCTGTATATGAGTGTTTTGCCTGCATGCATGTCTTTGTACCACTTGCATGCCTAGTGCCCAAGCAAGACAGAAGGCATTGGACCTCCTAGGTTTGGAGTTACAGATAGTTGTGAGCCATCTGTGGGTGTTTGGAATCAAACCTGAGTCCTCTGGAAAAGTAGTCAGTGCTCTTAACCAATAAGCCACCTTTCAGCTCCCTAAAATAATCCTGTAAATTGTTTGAAAAAGGTCTCACAAGCTGGCATGGAGTGCTAGGTAACCCTCCTGCCTCAGCCTCTTAAGTCCTGGTATTACAAGCATGAACCACCATGCCTGGATCAACTTAATAATGTTGTCTTAGTTACTTTTCTATTGCTTCTATTGCTATGAAGAGACACCATGGTCAAGACTACTTATAGAAGAAAGAAAAGAGTTTGTTGGAGCTAGTTTGCAATTTCAGAGAGTCATCGTGGCATGGAGCATGGCAGTAGGCAGGCAGGCGGCCAGGCAGGCAGGCAGGCATCCGGCAGGCAGGCATGTCGCTGGAGTAGCTGCCAGCTTATATCTGATCTACAAGCAATAGGCAGAGCCAGGTAAGTGGGAATTACATGGGCTTTTGAAACCTCGAAGCCCACCACAGTGACACACCTCCTCCAACAAAGCCACACTTCTTAATCCTTCCCAAATTTTTCCACCAACTAGAGCCCAAGCATTCAAATATGTGAGCCTACAGGGACATTCCTATTCAAACCATCTCAAATGGTTCAAGTGCTTCCATTACAATCCTGTGGAAAACTGTGGGACTGATTAGTGATGTCTGGCAATGAGGAATGAAAGCTTGTACTGGGAAGCACATTATAAATGCCTGATACAGAATATATGTGTTTAGCGTATATGTGCATACAGTGGGAAATGATAAGGCCTTAACGACTAGGCTGTGGTCACTAGTAAAGTACACATGAGGCGTGCTCTCAGTTGGACAGAGTTGTGGTCTCATTAGATGCCGCTGGGTTCTCACCCTCAGGTCTGCATTCAAGACCTCATCTCTCCTATCAATGTCTCTCTGAATTTCTCTCTTTTGGAGGAAGAAGGAACACTGAGGGACCGAAAGATGGTAAGTCTGATGGAAAGATGGATGTTTAAAGGAAGTCTGGCCGGGCATTGGTGGCTCACACCTTTAATCTCAGAGCTCGGGAGGCAGAGGCAGGCAGATCTCTGTGAGTTCGAGGCCAGCCTGGTCTACAGAGCTAGATCCAGGACAGCCTCCAAAGCCACGGAGAAACCCTGTCTCAAAAAACCAAATCCAAACAAACAAACAAAAAGGGAAGTCTGGAAAATTTGCAACAGTAAAGTGAATATGTGCTACTTAAGCAAGAAGGGAATTCATAGGCGTCTATATTTAAAACTGCTTTGGAAAGAAGGGAAGCCAGCGTTCAGTGAACCTGTTCTAGGCTCTGCTAGGCATCAGCCCTAACCACGTTACTTTCCAGCACTGTCCAACACACACTCCAGGGAGAACTTCAAAAGGCCTAGCTTTGGACCAGAACTGTCTCTTGATGTTACAATGACAGGGTACCTTAATCAGCCTTCTCTGTCTGTAACAGACTAGGTAGGCCTAAGGAGCCTGCTGATCTTAAGAGGGCTGGTCTGGAGGAGAAGTTCAGGAAATGCTGGGAAAAATGGTATAGAATTTCTAGGAGTTGGAGAGCAGGCCTAGGAGGACAGTATGTTGGCAGAGACAAACCACAGAGAAATGACCACTGGCAGGCAGGGGAGGTCAGACACTGAACAGCCAGGAGCTCCTGCCAAGAACGGAACTGTAGTCTGCTTTGTCCCAGTGCAAACAAAGAGAGGGAGAGGCACTCCAAGCCGCATTCTCCTACTGTGGAGCTGTCACTAGAGAAGGACCATGTACCTAGCGGTGGGTGTGCCTGTGGGTGTGGGAAGACCACAGTCATTCCAGTTGAGCCCCAAGCTGCTCTTGTCCCATCACAAGACCTGCTCACTCACCTGAGAACTGTCTTCACGTCTCCCTTCTCAACAGGGCAGGGACACGCAGCCCATCCTGAGGCCTTCAATACATGCAGTGACTAAGGAGGTAAGAGGGAGGAGAGGCAGACACATGGGCCTGGGGTCCCTGTCCAGCTGTGCTGGGTCTGGGGCCTGAGACGCCTTCTGGGTCCTGTCTTGGCCTTTCAGATCCCGTTCGAGAAGAACTGTGGTGAGGACAAGAAGTGTGAGGCAAACCTAGCCCTGTTGTCCCCTGCCAGGTCTGTAAGCCTTTGTCCCTTGACCCCTCTTCAACTCAGCTCCATCTTCCTGAAGTAGCTGCAAAGAATGTTGAGGCAGTGTCAAAAGACCCTTCAGCATGGGCTGTGTCCGCTAGGACCAGAACTTCCCCTCTGGGCCTCACCTTCCTTCTCGAGAAAGGCAGCCATTAGCAGAGCTTGAACAGGGATTAGATAGTGTTAGGGCACTGAGCCTGAGCGTAGGAGCTGGTGTCCATGGCCAGCCAGCTCCCTCAGCTCTGAAGTCCCCACCGAATGCTGTCTCCTGCCATCTTGGCCTCCATGACTTTTTTCTGGTCAAACTCCCAATCCCCAGATCCAGAGTCCTGCGTCTGACTTCCTCCGCCAGCCTTGCTGTGGAGTGGACGCTGAGCAACTCGGGAGAGGATGCTTACTGGGTGCGGCTGGACTTGAGCTTCCCTAAGGGACTCTCCTTCCGCAAGGTGGAGATGCTAAAGGTGAGCCTGAGGGCACCACTTGCGAGTAGTTTCCTGCTGGCTCCTGTTCCTGCAATGAGCTATGGGTGGCCCAGGTGGCTGGAATGGCCAGAGTAGGTGGGATGGCAGTTAATGTGTAAGGCTCTGAGGGCCACTCTGCATTCCCTGCCTGAGCTGAGGCATGAGCTCTTTGGGCCTTGGAGTCTCTTTTTAGTGTCAAAAAATGAGGCTGGGAAATTGGAATAGGGCTGGGGAGATGACTCAGTCAGTAGGTAAAGGACTTGTCTTGTACACATGAAGACCTGAGTCTGGTCCCCATGTAAAAAGCTCACACATGAGCGCACTCTCATACACACACATACTTAGAAATAAATTAAAAGGAACTACAGAGATGGCTCTGCAGTTAAGAGCACTGGCTGCTCTTCTAAATGACCCAGGTTTAGTTCCCAGCATCCACATGGTGGCTCACAACTGCTGTAACTCCAATTCCTGGGGTTCTGTTGCCTTTTTTAACTTTGATGGGCTCCTGTGTCCATGAGCTGCGTGAGCATGCGCGCATGCACACACACACACATCAAATAAGTATGTATATATTTTGTTTTGTTTTCTTGAGACAGGTTCTCACATGTAACCCTGGCTGGCCTGGAACTCACAACATAGACCAGACTGGCTTTGAACACACAGAGATCCACCTGTCTCTGCCTCCTAAGTGCTGGGGTTAAGGGTGTAGGTCATCATGCCCAGCTAAAATAATGCCTACTAAAAAAATAAAAAAATAAGAAATAAAGGAAGAGAAAGAAGTGCATGAAAGAGGCTCTGGGGTACTGTCTTTAGCACACTTGGTAACATAAAATTATATTCCCAGGAGATGGCTGAAGTCCTTTCCAGCAGTGTCATGCGTTGTGTTGAATAGGACTTTTAGAGTACTTACCTAGCAGGCATGGAGCCCTGTGTTCCTTCCAGCACTGAATACAGCTGGGAAGGGTGGTGGTGCCTGCTTGTAATCCCAGCACGGAGAAGGTGGAGACAGGGGTGGGGGGAACTGGGGGGAGGCTGTGAGAAGGTCAAGCTCTCCTTTGGCTACATAGTAAGCCAGAGACTCTGTCACCAAACAGAACTTTAAATGTTTCACATACCATTTTTAAAATCATAAGTGATCACCATGGAAACTTGGAAATTACATAGAAGTTCAAAGAATTTTATGAACATCTCAGCAATCACTGTATGTATGTATCTATTTGCAAAACTGTCAATTGAATAGAGGGCCTTGAACATGTTAGAGAAGTGCTCTGATACTAAGTTAAACCCCTAACTGAGCAATTCCTGTTCTTATCTTTTGGGGTTATCCTTTTTGTTTGTTTGTTTTGTTTTTGTTTTTCTTAATGTTCATTGGTACTTTGTTTGCATGCATGTCTGTGAGAGATTGTCAGAAGCCCTGGAAGTGGACTTACAGACAGGTTTGAGCTGCCATGTGGGTGCTGGGGATTGAACCTGGGTCCTCTGGAAGAGCAGTCAATGCTCTTAACTGCTGAGCCATCTGTCCAGCCCCATTAAGTGTGATTTTTATATTTTTATGTATATATCAAACACATACAGAATTACATTATGTATTTATTTTGTATTTGTTTTAACCAGTTGGCATTTTTTTCTCTCCATCGTTATTTTTCCCTATGTTTAATTTTAAAGTTATTATGCTACGTTTATTTATTTATTTTGCACATGTCTATATGAAGGTGCACACGTGTGTCAGCACGTGTGTCAGCACATGCATGTGAAGGTCAAAGGACAACTTGCAGGAGTCATCTCTCTCCTCCCACCATTTTGCTCCCAGGGATTAAACTCAAGTTGAGACTTTCAGCTTTTTTGTTTGTTTTTTCTGAGACAGGACTTTTTTTTTTTTTTTTTTTTTTTTTTGTAGCCCTGACTGTCCTGGAACTAGCTGTGTAGATCAGGCTAACCTGGAACTCACAGAGATCTGCCTGCCTCTGTGTCCTGCATGCTGGGATTAAAGATGTACTTCACTACTGCCTGGCTTACTTTTAGCTTGTGTGTGTGTGTGTGTGTGTGTGGGGCGAATGTATGTAAGTTTCAGAATTCCAACCATTCCTAGGCATACAGCTCACTGATGTTGAGTCTAGTCACATTGTCACACAGCTATCTTTCCAGAACTCTTACGTCATCTCCAGCCCGTTGAACACTAGGTGTCATTCCCTGTTCTTGGTCTCTTGCCAACTTCTCATATACTAATTCTGCGAATTTAAATATTAGATTGCATGTAGCAACGGACTCACAGCATGTGTCCTGCATAGCTGGCTTATTTCACTTTACATGGCTTGTTTTGTTTAATATTGTATCCTAATGTTGCCCAGGTTGGACTCAGACTTTTGGGTTCAGGCAATCGACCTGCCTCAGCCTCTTGAGTAACAGCGACTAAAGATATGCACTGTTAGGTTCAGCTATGCCCTCATCTTTGCCTCCTCTGGACCTGCCTCTCTGAGTATCTGTCATGGCAGAACACAGCCCGAGGAGTTACAAGCCCTGAGAGTTAGTAGCCTCTGGGGGACCCTAGACCTTGTTCACAAAAAGCTTCCTCATTCTCAGCCACACAGCAGAGTTCCTGTGAGCTGCCAGGAGCTGGCTGACAAGTCAAGTCTCCTGACCAAGACACTGGCCTGCAATGTCAGCTCTCCCATCTTCAAAGCAGGGCGGCAGGTGAGTGTTGCGCAGCTCTCCCAAGAGGGCCTGAGCTGGCAAACAGGGAGATCTTGGTTCTGGGGAGGGACCAGGTAGTTGGCCAGGAAGGGTCTATCCTGTCACAAAAGGGCAGTATCTAGAGCTGCTTTGCATCTCTGGATTTGGATGGGTTCATTCCTTTTGTGGCCTTGCACACCTCACTTAGCCCAGCGGGGATGAGACCTACCCAGTGCAGGGGCTCAGGAACCACACACCCCACAGTCACTGTCGAGCTGGTAACCCACTCAGGTTACCGGGGACACCTCCATCTTCTCTCACCTCTGTTTGCCCACCAGGTCAGCCTCCAGGTGATGTTTAACACACTGCTCAACAGCTCCTGGGGAGATTTTGTTGAGCTGAATGGCACTGTGCACTGGTAAGCAGCCCATCCACATGCGGGGGGCTGGGGTTAGATGGCCAGGAAGCCTGGCCGTGCTCTAACGGTGTCCCTCCACCTTGTCCCATGCAGTGAAAATGAGGACTCAAGCCTGCTGGAGGACAACTCAGCCACCATGCACATCCCTGTCCTGTACCCAGTCAACATCCTGATTGAGGAGTGAGTGCCACTGAGCTCAGCCACTCCCTCCTTCTACCCCAGTTTTCCCACATGGGTGTCCTTGTCACCCAGGGCCCCCCCACCCCAGCCCTCTTCCTTCTCAGACGTCTCAGGTTCAGTCAGAGCTCAAGTTTGTCTGATTCCAAAGCACTTGGCTGTGTCCAGTTGCACTGTATTTCCTCTCTCCTGGATATAGTGCTGGAAGAGTGTGGAGGAACATTTATAGAATGACCTTTGCCCTCCAGCCACTTACCATCTAGTCAGAGCAGGCTCATACACATGGAGTCAGCATGCAGTGGATCTCTAGTTGGATGTTCTGGTTACTATATAAACAGAACAGTGTTTTTTTTTTGGGGGGGGTTGGTTTTTTTGTTTTTGTTTTGTTTTGTTTTGTTTTGTTTTGCTTTAAATTGGGTCGATGTGGCAAGAACATAGCTGATGTCTGAGCTCTAACCTCCAGTACTTCTAAACATAGCGGGGTGGTGTTGACATAAAAGATGGGGCCAGGTGTTGGAGAGAGGGAAGGTTCATGGAGAAAGTTGGCCTTGGCCTTCATCTAGAGGCACCTGATAAGGGCTGGTAAGGAGACAGCAGAGCACAGGCAAAGGCAAGGAGGCAGGACTCAGACAGGGAAAGCAAGTGGGCTGCCTCCAACACCGGCAGTGTGTACAAGACAGTAGTGGGGAGGCGGCTGGTGTGAACAGGTGAGCTGCAGGCAGGGTGAAGGCGTGGGAGTCAGAGGGCTGTGCACACGGGAAGGACACACAGGGAGAGAGCGCAACAATGAGCTGGGTTGAGACACTGATGAAGGCGGGATGTGTAATGAGCCCATGGCTCCCAAGGTGCGTGTGAAATCCCCAGCACAGTGCAGGAGGCTCAGAGGCTTCTCGGGGTCTGGACTGCTTTCTTTCCACCTTCCATCTATAAAATTCCCTCTCCACAGCCAGGAGAACTCCACCCTGTACACCAGTTTCACCCCTAAAGGTCCCAAGACCCAGCAAGTCCAGCATATCTACCAGGTATGAACTTCCATGGGGAATGGTCCTCAAAGCTATGCTTTCTTTTCTTTCTTTCTTTCTTTTTTTCTTTCTTTTTTTTTTTTTTTTTTTTTTTTTTTTTACTGTGTATGGGTGTTTTGCCTGCATGTCTGTCTGTGCTTCACTTGCATGCCTGGTACCTCCAGAGGCCAGAAGGTGTTTGGTCCTCTGGAACTGGAGTTATAGATGGATGCGAACTGCCATGTGGGTGCTGGGAACTGAATCTGGGTCCTTTGGAAGAGCAGCCAGTGCTCTCAACCACACTTGTAAGAAGGCACTAGGTCAGGGCCAGGTATGGTCCATCATTGTGTACTGCATAGAAGATAATAGGTACTAGAACTCACCCAGGCAGTGCCTCAGGTCACACAGGGCAGGTGGTAGTCGGGGCTGTTGCCATTCAAGCATCTCGGTCTCTACCCTTTTCCAGGTGAGGATTCAGCCTTCTGCCTATGACAACAACATGCCCACATTGGAGGCCTTGGTTGGGGTGCCACAGCCTCACAGTGAGGGCCCCATCACTCACACATGGATTGTACAGATGGTGAGTACCACTCAGAAGAGGGCAAAGTGAGCTGCTCCATGGTGGGGAACAACTATATAGAACCGCTCAATGTAGGAAAGCATTGTGAATGGATGGACCCCAGTTCCATGGACTCAGTGATGTCTGAATTAGACAAGGGTTATCTTGGGGGAACGTCTGAGTTCTGTGGGAGAGGAAGAGACTTCAGACCTACCAAAACCCCCCACCTCCAATTCCTAGGATTCTCCTGTCACTTGCCGCCGTGAGGACCTGAAGAGGCCATCTAATGAAGCTGAGGTATGGGTGTGTGAGCTGAGGAATCAGAATTGGAGGTGGGCAGTAAGCTGGGGACGGTGGGCCTCTCTGACTGGTGTTCTTACCACAACAGCCTTGTCTGCCTGGAATTCTGTTCCACTGTCCAATTGTCTTCAGGCAGGAGACCCTCATCCGAGTGACCGGGACAGTAGAACTATCAGACGAAATTAAGGTAGGGCCTGCTTGTAGTTGGCTGTGAGTAGTGTTGAGGATCCATTTGCTTTTGGAGTGATGGGGCTGGGCTCCCCACATGGGCTTTCTCCATTTGTCTCTTCTTGAATAACAGCCAGGTCAGCATAGCTGCAAACTACAACAAATCACCTTATTTGTTTGAAATTTATAGGGTGTTTTCCTAGGGGAGGCTTGTTGTTTATTTTTATTTCGGTTTTGGTTTTTTGAGACAGGATTTTTATGTTACTGTGGAAGTCACTCTGTAGTCCAGGCTGTCCTGAAACTCACAGAGATCCACCTGCCTCTGCCTCTGAGTGCTGGGATTAAAGGCGTGCACCACACCCAGCTTGGTTTGCTTTTGAGTTAGGGGCTCACTAAGTAGCCAGACTAGCCTGCAACTTATGATCTAGCCATCGCCTCCTAAGTACTGGGATGAGAACCATGTACCATGGTTTCCAAGGGTAGTTAGTTCTAGGAAAAGCCCCTCTGACACTGAAGAATGAGTGTCACATTAGACCATCACAGTAGAGTAATAAGATGAGACAGAAAACTGGGTCCTGTCCTTCCCTGTGCAAGTGGACAGAAGTTTGGGGTCTTGGTCCTGGTCTGACACTCTCCTCCTTCCACAGGCATCCTCCACGCTCAGCCTCTGTAGCTCGCTCTCCATCTCCTTCAACAGCAGCAAGCATTTTCACTTGTATGGCAGCAAAGCCTCAATGGCCCAGGTACATACCCCAGAAGCCTGCGAACAGACAGCAGAGAGGTTCGGGAACCCATGCAGAGCTCATACGGAGGGGGCCTCATGGAAGAAATTAGCTTGGCCCCAGCCAGAGCCTCCTCTAATTCAAATCCTTGTGAAGCAGGAGGTCCCACCTCACTGGGAAGCAAGCCAACTGCAGAGTCTCTTGTCTGAGATGTTATAGACCCGGGTGTCTGCTAAAGATCAGCACAATGGTACCTTAGCAAAGGGCCACCAGCCCTGTAGCGAGCACAGAGGCCCAGGCCTCAGAGATCAGACAATGCAGTGTGGCCAGAAGATGGGTCTAAACACAAGAAGCAGGTTCTTCTGGGCTTTGAGGTGCTTCCTTCTGGGGCCAACAGCAAACGTCAGGGCAACCTGTGATACACGTGGCCACGTGACAGCGAGGGCAGTGGGTGGCACATCTGTGGGAAAGCGTGCTATGATGCAACCCACACATAAGACTGGGGATGGACCCGGCACACAGGGGCCTTTAGTGTGGGTGGGCTTTTCCTGCCCTCACCTAGCTCTCCTCCCCAGGTCCTCATGAAGGTTGATGTGGTCTACGAGAAGGAGATGCTGCACCTGTATGTGCTCAGCGGCATTGGGGGGCTAGTGCTACTGCTGTTGATTTTCCTAGCGCTCTACAAGGTAGGAGCTTCCAGATGGTTAAGCATTGCCAAGACAGCTGGGGTAAAGTGGGGTGGGGGGATATGGCAGGGACCAGGGGAGAGCATAGTGGGCCATGGAGTTTAAGAGACAGAAAAGTCCTCATCCCACCCCATCCTTCTACAGATAGGACTGTAAGCCTCAAAGAACGAGTGAGAGAGACTTCACCATCACTCAGTTCAACACTGGCCCAGCCAGGACTAGGTTGATAGAGAAAAGAGGAAGGAGGGACCTTCTGGTAACAGGTTTTGTATTAGGCCCCACAAAACAGAGACATATAATATAAACATGGTCCCCACTCATATAGAGTTCACAGTTGAGATACAGGACACAGACAAGGGTGAGCGTAATGAAGGCTATACTGGGGCTGTATCCTCTGAGTCCTGACTCCGACTGTGAGGTTTCCCCAAGAAGAGGTGGCACTTGAACTGAAATTTGGACAAGTAAAAATTAGGGACAAAGAGGGCCAGAGGACAGGTGATCCACGAAAAGGGCTCGAGAGTTTCAGAACAGAAGCTGCACGCAATGGTGCACACCTGTGGCCCCAGCACTCGGGTGTCAGAGGTAGACTTTCTGAAAGTTCGAGGCCAGCACAAGGTGCCCATGGAGACCCTGTCTCAAAAGTTAAGGGAGAGGGGCTGGAGAGATGGCTCAGTGATTAAGAGTACTATCTACTCTTCCAAAGGACCCGGGTTCAATTCCCAGCACCCACATGGCAGCTTACAACCGTCTGTAAGTTCCAGGGGATCCAACACCCTCACACAGACACACATGCAAACAAAACACCAATGCACATGAAATTAAAAAAAAAAAATAAGGGAGAGAGGAGTTGAGAGGCAAAAATGGGGTAGAGCCACACAGCCTATTGGGGCTTGTGTCTCCCACTTAATGTCTTGTCCTGATGTCTCTCACCATGGCTACCAGCTCTGTCTCCTCCTCCTGAACTTCCTGCTGCCCCAGTGCTCCATCTTTTATTTAACAGCTTCCCTGTTAAGGACCATGTAGAATTTATACTGTAGGTGGCTTCTCATTTGCATCTGTTAGACTGTGTGACAAAAACAGCTATTATTACCTACTTCCCACACTTACCCAAATATTGTTAGAATTAATTCTCGAGATGGAGACCATGGCGCACACACTTGAACACACAATTCTAAGCTTTTAGGAGAGCATGCACAGCACACAATTAAGCAACACACTATCGATTCTTCCTATTAAGAGATATTGTCAAATGACCCACTGAGATCTAAGAGTGTCAGTGGTAGAGCAGTGGCATGCAGAAGGCCCTGGGTTCTAGTCTTAGCACTGAAAGAAAAATATCACCTACTTAAAAGATTTATATGTGGGGTGTGTGTGTGTGTGTGTGTGTGTGTGCGCGCGCGCACCTTGTATATGCAGGAGCCCACAGAGAGAGTCAGATCTCCTGGAGTTATGGGAGGTGCTGGGAACTGAACCCAGATTCTCCACAAAAGATTCAGCACTCTTTACTGTTTTGCTTTGTTTGTTGACACGGTTTAAACTATCCTTGATATGTCCTTATCATAAACTGATAAGTCTCTGAAAATGATCTCAAACTCTTGAACCTCCTGCCTCTACCTCCCTAGTGCTAGGGATCTAGGCCTGCCCCACCGCACGGGGCTCTTTATGCAGTATTGGGCTTTAATCAGCTTGCAAGCACTCTACCAACTGAGCTACAGCATTAGCCCACATTTCTAAAAGGGAGTATCAGTATGCAGCCTACATGGCTAAAGCTGAAGATCCTGCTGTCTTCCCTCCTGAATGCTGGGACTGTGATGCTGGGTGACCATACCGGGCTGTCACATGGCATTCTTAATGAGTCTAAAGAATAAATCACCAAACTTAAAGCTTTTTAGTAGTCACAAGATTTTTAAAAATCTATTTCTTTAATTTTATTATTTTTTTTTTGTGGGAGATGGACATGTAGCCCTGACTACCTAGAACTTCTAATGTAGGTCAAGGCACCTTGAGCTCATAGAGACCCTCCTTCCTCTGACTCCAGAGTGCTGGCATTAAAGGCAGGCACCACCACACCCAGACTAAATGCTTGTTTTGCTTTTTTAATTTGTGGCTTGGAAAGTTGGCTTGGTGGTTAGGACACTTGTTCTTGCAACTGGTCCAGGTTCAATTCCCAGCACCAGGCACACAAAATAGTCATACACACAAAATAATAAAAATAAATCTAAAAACAATTAAACTTTTTCCTGTTATTTCTGAGGAGTGGTGGAGGAAGCATGCCATAGCGCCCAGGTAGAGGTCAGAGGGCAACTCTCAGGAGCATGTCCCCTCCTTCCACTGTGGCTCTGGGAACTAAACGAAAGTAGTCAGGCTTGTGTGGCAAATGATTTTTACCTGGAGCTACTGCCCCTTAAAAATAAATATTTCTGAGAGGCAAAACATGCAGGTGCCGTGTGACTGTGGTATTTGTCAGCATAGGACATCTTCACACCTTACAGGGCAGCTGGTCCCTAGGTGCCTGCCCACTCTCTGTGTGCTTCTCACAGGTTGGTTTCTTCAAACGGAACCTGAAGGAGAAGATGGAGACTGATGGAGGTGTCTTGAATGCAAGTCCTAATGAAGATGCTGACCCTCTGGCAGAATCTGGAGAAGAAACCAAAGATCCCAGCTGCCTAGAGCCCCTCCATGAGGGTGACAAGGACTGAGGCCTACATGCAATACACTGATGGCCCAAAACTAGACTTAAGAGTGCCGGTACTGACCAGCATCAGCCGTATGTCGTCGATGTGTACCCTCATCTTTGGCTAGTCATGGTTGCTCCTAGTCCTGAATTTCCCTGGTGTGAGCATTGAGCTCATCCCCACCTTATCTACAAGTGCATGTAAGACTCTGCTAAGGAAGGCCAGGAGGCCAGAGATGAAGCCCTGCCTCCTGCTAGCCTGCCTTGCTGTCCCCCAGAGAGAATCTTTGGTCCGAACTTGTAGAAACTGTCATCTCAGGGCCCAGTTTTACTCCAGCTCTCTCAACTGCCCTCGGATGTCCCAGCCTTCTGGGTCTGCCTCACACTGTCTCCTGCCTGGAGTCTAGCCTGGACTCTGCTGAGAGACTGCAAATCCACCTGTGTCATTGCATTGCTGCCGCAGATGTCTAGGAAGACATTGCAAAATCAGGCCCCCGTGGCTGGCCCAGCCTCTGCAGGAGTGACCCACCTTTCCTCCCCACATCTCTTTGCTGCCTCTCTTTCCCAGGCTGCAGCTACTCCAGCCTTTCCGAGAGTCATTCTCCTTCCTGTGAAGCTGCACTTCACCTCATGTCCTCTTCCGCCTGGAACATTCCTGCCTCCGCCTGTCCTGGCTCAGGGAGGATTCCACTCACACCAGCCTGCACCTGTCCCTTGTCCCCAGGTTGTATTTGTTCTCTCTTTGATGATTTAATTCCTGCCTCAGAGTGAGCTCCTTGAGGTTGGGGCATACATTCCTATGCCATTCACCTTGGGAATCTCTGATGACATCCGAGGGCAGGGGTATAGTGGGTGCTTGGTACAGTTTCATTGTAAGTGGAGAAGATAAAGAAATAGCATGGGTGAGCCCTGGGCATTTCATCCTTCAAGCCTCTGCCTTTCCAGGCTCCTTCATTCCCCATTCAGCACCCCCCCCCCCAGTTCCCTCACAGAAGGAGCTCAAGGAGTCCCAATACAAAGCACATGCATGGTGTCTTGAATGAGAAATGCCCACATAGGCTCAGGCACCTCAACACTTGGTCCCCGTAGTTAGAGAGATTGTAGGGAAGCACAGCCTTGCTGGCCGTCGGCTGGGAAGGGCTGTGAGAGTTGGAAACCTTGCCCCACTTGTAGTTCATGCTCAGCTTTGTGCTTTGGATTGATGTCATCTCTCGGTTTCCTACTGTCTTTCCAGCCACTGGCTGCCGTACCTTCCAACACAGACTCCCACCCTCTGGAACCACGAGCCCAAATAAACTTGATTCCATAAGTTTTCTTGATTGTTTATCATGGCAACAGAAAAGTAAGGAACACAACAAGCCGGCATCTATTTGTCCAGTAAATGTGGAATTGTGTCCAATTCTGAGGTTTTGTGCTAGTGCAGCATTCCAGCCTGGCTCATTTAAATGGACATATCCCCCTCAAAGTTTTATCAAGTTGAACCAAAAGAATCAGCCCTGCTTCTTCTCTCTTGTATTAGATTTTTGTTTTGTTTGTTTGTTTTTCTGCAGCCACTGCTGCAATAAATCACCCCAACAAAAAGAAATTTCCAAGAGAAAGGTTTATTTTGTGTTACACTTCCAGAAAAGCTGTAAAGCCACCATGGTAGAAGAGGCACGTGGCAGGAACACAAAGGTTGTCCCCTACATGGGCAGTCTGGAAGCTGAGAGTAAATAGGATGTGGAGGAGGACATAAAAGCTCAAAACCCACCCCTGACTCACTTCCCCCAATGAGGCTCCGCCTCCTGAAGATCCCATGTGCTTCCCAAACAACATCACCAGATGGGGATCAAGTGTTCAAATAGATGAGCCTACACAGATGTCTTTGCACATTCAGATCTCAACACTCCTCTTGCCTTTTGCCATCATGACCCTCAGGCTGCTACCCTTGGCCTGCAACTAACATTGTGGGTTAATTCCAAACAAAAGCATGGAGAAAGAGACTGAACAGAAGAAGAGGCTAACTGCATTTTAGGATATGGGCATAAACAGGCTGGAGAGATGGCTCAGTAGTTAAGAACACATCTGCTCTAGCAGAGGACCTGAGTTCAGTTGCCAGCACACAGGTTAGGCAACTCACAACTGCTTAACACTTGGTTCCAGGAGGATGTAACACCTCTGGCTTCTGTGGACTGCTGTCCATGAACTGAAAAGCAACAGCAAGAGAGGCAAGTGGGCTCTCATCTTTTATTTATAAAACAAGAAAGGAAGCCATAGAGATCTAGAAGCCACAGAAAGAGCGAGTCACTAATCCTTTTCTGTGGTCAGTCGGACCCCAGAGAGTGGATCTCATCACTGGGAGAAGAGAAAACTGTGCACCTGTATAGATCAGGCAAGCAGTGAGAGAGTCCCTAGGCCATGATCTTTGATGGTCCTCTGACAAAAGGGGGGCACATGAACATTTCCAAGCCTGTCATGAAAGACACAGGCCATTATCCAGTCTGTCTGAGCCTGCCAGTCCTATAGCCTTCTGTGTGGAAAGACGGGGTAAACTGAGGTCTGGTCTTGCTCTGAGACTCCTTGGCCCAGCATGCTCCTCCCTGGTCCCTGCCAATGTTTCTCCTTTTGCCCCAGCTGTCTTGGCAAAGCTTAACCATCATAGCAGAGCCTAACAGCCTCTCCAGCTACACCAGCCTTCACTTGATATGACCCCAACGAACCATGGGAAGGGCTCATTAGCAAGACAATTGTAATGAAGAAGTGAAACCATTTTTCCAGAAAGAGAAGATTATTCATTTTGTTTTTAATTACATTCTATTTAGTGTGTGTGTGTGTGTGTGTGTGTGTGTGTGTGTGTGTGTGTGCCACAGTACATTCTTGGAGGTGGTCAGGGACATTTTTCCTTCCACCTCTATACTCTTAAAAAGCTGAAGAGATGCTTAGTAGTGAGGAGAGCTCACTGCTCCTGCTGAGGGTCCCAGCACCATCAGGCAGCTCACAACCGGTCATAAATACAGTTCCAGGGGGGTCCAACACTCCTAGCTTTGAGGCACCTACACTCACATATGCACACCCACACAAAAACATGTATCTATTAAGTGTTTAAAAACATTCAGGAACCCCAAAAGCCTTTTTGACATGCATTAGATATATTGTACTTATGAAGTTTAAATGGAAATAAAATAATTCATCACCATGTGCTGTCGACTTTACTCAAGCTATAGTTATTTTGGAAGAGGGAACCTCAACTGAGAGAATGCCCCTACTGGATTGGCCTGTGCACAAGCCTACTGTGCATATTCTTGATCTATGATTGGCATGGGAGAGCCTAGTTCACTGTGGGTAGTGCCACCCCTGAGCTGGTGGAGAGCAAACCGAGCAAGCCAGGGTGAGCAAGCCAGTGAGCAGCATCTTCCATGGCCCGTCAGCTCCCACCCTGACTTCTGTGGATGATGGGCTACAAGCGGTAAAATGAAATAGATCCTTTCCTCTCCAAAGATGCCTTTGGTAATGGTGATTTGTTGCAGCAATAGGAACCCTAACCAAGAAAATCACCCAACCCCTCATTTATGAGCTATCAGAATAATGGCACATGTCAGCATGTGTCATATGAGCCCTAGAAACCCCTTCCTTTAAAAGAAAAAGGAAGAAGAGGGAAAAGAACCGTGTGACACAGTGGTGCATACCTGTATAGTAAGGGGAGCCTTATTATACAGTGCTGTGATGCTAAACGAGATGACAGCTGCAAACTGCTTATCATGTTCCTAGCCTGTACTTGCCAACAGCATTTACAGTGTCGGACAGGGGACCACAGAGCACCACATGGGACCTTGCACAGCTACACCTAGTGCTGGAGCTAGAGTTCGCAAGAGTTCTTCCATGACCTTGTGGGATCTTGGGAAATGTGCCCAGGCTGGGTTGCCCTACTCCAGATGGACTCTGGAGGTCCCCTAGGAGCTGCACACAAGGAGGAGGTGTCTGAGCAGCTATGTCTCCACAGTCATTGGTTTGATCTGTTTTTAGGTACAGTCTGACCTCTATCCTTTCATATCTGCCAACTCAACCAACCACAAGTTAAAAGTGTTCAGGACCCTAGGGATGTAGGTTAGTGGTTGGGTGAGTATCTAGCATACTCGAGGCCCTAGGTTTTATCTTCAGAAACACCAAAAATTTGCATTTGTACTAAATGTACGCTGAATTTCTCTTCTCTTGTCATTATTTATACACTAGTTCTTGCAACCTACTAGAAGTAGGATAGAGTGTAAGGGGGTGGGGATGTAACTTAGTGGCAGACAGAACTCTTGTCCAGATTACAAGAGGCATTGGGTTCTATTGGCAATGCCACAAACAATCAAACAGTGTAAGGGAGGGCACACCTAAGTCACCTGCAAGTACTATGCCATTTTTATGAGGGACTTGAACATCCTGTGATTTTTGATGTCATAGGGTGGATCTAGAATCAACCCCACCTCAGATGCTGAGAGACAAATAATACAAAGCCATGTCTTTTCAAACAAGCACTCCCTCCCACTACACACACACACACACACACACACACTTTGTCTATGCCTCATGTCTTTGGAAGCTTAGTTTAAAAATCTATTCCAGGGGACTGGAGAGATGACTCAGAGGTTAAGAGCACTTGCTACTCTTTCAGAGGATCCATGTTCTGTTCCCAGAACACACATGGTGGCTTTACAACCACTTGTAACAGTTTCAAAGAATCCAGTGTCCTCTTTCTGCCCCCTCAGGTACCAGGCACACGTGGTCCACATGCATACAGGCAAAATCTCAGACACATAAAAATAAAATATTGTTTAAAATGAAACATATAAAACTCATTTTAAAAAAGAAAGAAAAATTGAAACCTGCTCCAGGAGCCAGTAAAATGTCCCAGAAGCTAAAGGTGTGTTGCTGACACTCCTTCCCAGCAGAGATGTAAACAAGTACCCTTCCCTCTCCCAAGGTCCCAACCACAAACTCAGGCACTATCTCACAAAGTTCCCTCTAAGGAGCCAATGAGTTTAATGGACTTGCTTACAGAGCATAGCTGATGGCTACTTACAGGAATGTAGATGTTCCCCGCAAAAACGAGGCTGCAGAGGAAAGTCTTAACCTAGCAGGGATTGTGGCTTTCCTATAGTTGCACACACAGAGTGCCACCTTTCCCAGACTTTCCCTCTCTGAGGCCACATTTGATTGTGGTACAGTAATATACAATAAATGGTATGGCATAGCTGGCCCTCCCCATCCCTCTATGAGGGGTGTAAACAGTCCAGCCCAGCTGGGATGCTTTTTCGAAAGTGAGCTCAGCTGAACTTAAGAAGATGGAGACGGTTTGACTCAGGGTATAATCATGTTCAAGGCACCTGTTACCAAGCCTGACAATCTGAGTTACCTCCTAGGACCACACAGAGGAGGGAGAGAACAGACTCCTCCTGCAAGTTGTCCTCTGACCTCCACAAGTGAGCCACAAGCCATGTCATGTCCATGCCTACATATATACGCACTCACACACAAACACACAATAAATAATGAACTTAAAAAAATCTAGGTGCTAGGGCTGGACAGATGGCTCAGCCATTAAAGGCTAGGCTCACAACCAAAATATAAAAATCTAGGTGCTGAAGAAATGGCTCAATGGTTAAGAACAATTGCATTAATCAGGGAGAAACAACTGGCTGAGAAAAAAATTTTTTTTGTTGCTTACAGAGGACTCAGATTCAGTTCTCAGCACCCATATGGTAGCTTACAACCATCTGTAATTGCAGTTCCAGAGGAGACAACACCTTCTTCTGGTACCAGGCACATTCTTTATTACTCATCCTCACATGCAGGCAAAACACTCATTCACATAAAGAATAAAATCTACAAAAACAAAAATTGATATAACCAAGGCAGAGTGAACTGCCTTGGGAGGCATTGGGAAGCAAAGGTAAGAGACTGACATAAATTCAAGGTTAACCTGGGCTACATAGTGAATCCAGGTTAGCATGGGATACAGATTAAAGCCCTGTCTCAAAATAAATAAATAAAAATGCATTTTTCCAGCCGGGAGGTGGTGGCGCATACCTTTAGTCCCAGCACTTGGGAGGCAAAGGCAGGTGGATCTCTGTGAGTTCAAGACCAGCCTGGTCTACAAGAGCTAGTTCCAGGACAGCCTCCAAAACTACAGAGAAACCTTGTCTCGAGGAAAAAAAAAAAAAAAAAAAAAAAAAAAAAGGAAGAAAGAAAAGAAAATCCATTTTTCACCAGGACACAGGCTAGAAACTCTTATAAATTTGAGGCCTGCTTGGTCTACACTGAGAGTTCCAGGTTAAGGAGGACCACATAGTGAGACTGTCTCTAAAGATTAATTAAAAACTACATATTTGAAACTAGAGATGTAGCTCAGTGTTAGAACATATTTCCTAACAAATGCAAGTCCCTGGGCCCAAACTCCAGTACTATAATAAATAAATTCAGATATAGGATAAAATGATATAATTGAATATTTAAAAGCCAGGTATGTCGACACATGATTTTCATTTGGGAGGCAGAGGTAGGTGGATCTCTGTTCATTTGAGGCCAGCCTGATCTACATAAAGTATACCAGGACATCTGGGGTTACATAGAAAGAGCCTGTCTCAAAATAAAATAAAAAAACAAAACCAACAGGTTTGAAGTCTTTGTATATAGCTCTATTGGTATAGAGCCAAAGGTCTCAGTAACTGCACCTAAGCATCTAAGCAGAGTGCTACTCTAATTGACACTCCCTTGCCCTGGGCTCAGTCCCCAGGCTTGCACAAAAAGGGTGTGGTGCACACCTGTACTCTTAACACTCAACACACTTCCACAGTAAGGTCTTGAGTTTCAGGCCAGCCTGGGCTATAGAGGGGCATACCATTTCAGGAGGAAGGGGCGGAGCAGAAGGAGTGGGGACGGAGAAGGAAAAGGGGCAGTGGTAGCAGCTGCTATGCAGTGGCTGCTTGCATTCAGTTCATAAAGGCCTTTCAATGACTCTAAGATTTCACTTGAACAATGATGGTCTACTGTCCAAAGTGCTTTTGATTTTGAGACACAGGCAAATGGAATTGAACCATAGGGTCCCTTCCAGAGCTGTAGATCATGACCAGCTGAATGGAAACGACCTTTGAAGTTATTTGTCTTTATAAGTTTGAAGACCCTAAGGATGGGAATGACACCAGGATCCAAAGACAAAAGAGACTCAACTGTGCCCATGTGGCCAAGCTCTGAGCAGAGGTGAAGCCAGGTAAACACGTCCAATCTGTTCAGAGCCGCACAGCGACTGAACCACCGCTGGCCTCTATGGCTGTTTTCTCTTCTGTGAGCTAGGAGCACACCTTCAGAGGGGCTCCATCAGACCCCCAGTGGGCATTGTCTCAAAATGTGCCCCCCAACAGCAAAGGTCCCCCAAGATGTGGCCTGCTGTCCCCTGCTAAGGTCACAGAGGTCTGTACTCTAGACCCCTCTCATCTTGCTGAAACTAAGTCTGCATCAGTCCCTGAGTCTGGAACTTGGATGGGAAAGCAGGTATCCAAAGATGGTCTCTTCAATTGACACAGGGTCCAGAGAAACCAGAGCTGTGGCCAACCAGTCCCAGCTGGTGAGGCACTGGAGGAAAAGGGCTGAGAAGTGGCTCCTCCATACTTGGTCAAACAGGTCCCCCTCTTTGGGTGGGACTGAAGTGTTTAGCTGCCCGCTCCAGTCACAAGAGCTAGAGAAAAGATCTGAAGTGCTGACTGGGGATGTGGGGTGGGGTTACCCAGGTGATAGGGACACCTGTGTCTAGGTATGAACACCTGGTCTGTTTTCTGGCCTAAGCATGGACCCTCTCCTCTGTTTAGGAAGAGTTGAGGTCTTTCTCACACCTCCCACCAGCAGTCCCTTTGAGATGCAGCATACAAAACATGGAACATGAACTTCAGGGTCCATGGGCAAATAAACCAAGCCTTGAACTCTGGGTGCTAAGGTCCCCCTGAAGCACTGAGCACAACAGCATTTCCGAGGCAAGACTTGCTGCTGAAGTTCTGACTGGTGTCTCCCAGTGCTCAGGAAAGAGTCCACATACACATCTTAGGGACAAGTCTCTTACCACATAAAAGTTTTATTGAACTCAAACGGCTCCAAAGCCTGAGGAAGACAAGGTAGGATGGGGTTTGCTCTGAGAGGCCCAGGTCCTACCTTGAACCCCACTCTCCCGCTACCTACGCTTTGCACTCTTCCTGGTTTCACAAGGGTCTCAGCAGCTACCAACCTAAGCTACCCTACTCTAATTAAGTGACACTCCCTTGCCCTCCCCCCTCCCTGTCTAGTACTTTGCAGGACAGGCCTCCCAGCTAAGGAGCATGCTGCTACTCAGACAAGCAGCACGGGTCTCTTCTGGTGCTTCCTGTTGCCTGCTTAGTCTCCCTGCAATCCCTCTTCATAGCCCACTTCTCATACTTCTTGAGGGCATGTGATTTCCTGCACCCTGACCCATCTTCTAGAATATTCCATCCTTGTATTCTCCTCCAGCCTTTCCATTATCCTCTGAAGCAGTTTCTCTAGTTCCCTGACTCCTTCTCTTTTGCCCATCACCTCCCCACCCTGGACTGGTCAGCGCCGGCCGGCTGCATGGGTCCGCTGGTGGCGGATGAGGTCAGAGCTCTGTGAGAAGGCCTTTCCACAGTCATCACACTTATAGGGTCGCTCCCCACTGTGCACGCGATGGTGCTGCAGCAGCGTGGAGGAGCGGCAGAAGCCCTTGCCGCACACAGCGCAGCGGTATGGCCTCTCCCCTGTGTGCGAGCGCTGGTGCTGAATGAGTGTGGAGGAGCGGTTGAAGGTCTTGCCACAGTCGGGGCAGCTGTAAGTGCGGCCTGGCAGATGGGTGCGGGCATGGATGGCTAGAACCGAGCTCTGGCCAAAGCGCTTGCCGCACTCCGGGCACTTGAAGGGCTTTTCTCGGGCATGGCTGCGGGCATGGGGTATAAGTGCTGAACGTTGGGAGAAGCTCTTGCCACAGATGCCGCAGCTAAAAGGCCGCTGCCCAGTATGCACTCTCTGGTGGCTGCGCAGGGAAGAGTTCTGGCTATAGCACTTGCCACACTCTGGGCAGCTATAGGGCCGCTCGTGGCTGTGGGTGCGCTGATGCCGCAGGAGGTAGGAGCTGTCGCCAAAGGCCTTCCCACAATGTGGGCACTTGTAGGGCTTCTGGCCAGAGTGGGTACGCTGGTGTCGAAGTAGGTAGGAGCTATCAGCAAAGGCCTTGCCACACCTAGGACACTTGTAGGGCCGCTCGCCGGTATGAGTGCGCTGGTGTTTGATGAGGTCAGAGCTCTGGGAAAAGGCCTTGCTGCATACCTCACATTTGTAAGGCTTCTCACCGGTATGGATGCGCTGGTGCTGGATCAGGGTAGAGCCTCGCCCAAAGCTCTTCCCGCAGATGCCACAGATGTTAGGCCGGGGGCCTTGCCCACCCCTGGCCCGGCCACCCCTACGGCCTGGACCACGAAGGGCCCCTGTCAAATTCAGGGGGTTCTGGAGCATCTCAAACTGGGGTGTGGCGAGTAGGGCCCCTGTAGGCATATCAAATGTTGCTCCTAGAGGCAGTGCTCCTGTGGGTTGCTCCCCAAACCCCTGAGTAAAGGAGTCCAGAGGGTGAACTCCTAATGGGATGCTCAGTGGATTCTTTTCCTCAGGGTTCAGAAGCATCTCTGCACCTTCCTGGAATTTGGAACTTTGAGTTTCAAATTCAGGGCTATGGGTTTTGAACTCAGGATTCTGAGCTTCATCTCCAGAGTTCTGCGGCGCATCCTCAGGACTCTGGGATTCATACCCGGGACTTTGAGATTCAAATTCGGGGCTCTTCGAACCATATCCAGGGCTTTTAGGTTCAAACCTAGGACTGCCGGGTTCATAGCCTGGACTCTTGGGGTCATAGCCAGGGCTTTGAGGCTCATACCTAGCACTCTGGGATTCAAACTCGGAACTCTGAGGGTCTGATTCAGGACTTCTGGGTGCAAACTCAGGGCTTGGGGGCACAAACCCAGGGCTCCGGGATTCAAACCCTGGGCTTTCAGGCTCAAACCTGGGGCTCTGGGATTCAAACTCTGGGCTTTGGGGCTCAAGCCCAAAAGGTATTTCTTCAACTTCATAGTCCCCATTGCCTTCTTGCTGAGAAATTTCCCCTTCTTCGCTCTCATTTGTGTTGCCTGCAGAGTCAGAGAATTACAAAAAAAAAAAAAAAAAAACACAGATTGACTGGGGGGTCTGGAAGATCATTTGGTCCATTGTTATACTTCTCTCCCCCACTCCCCAAGCGGGGTCGCTGGCCTTAAATCAAGGTGCTGAAATTTACTGCCTCCTCTTCAAAGACCCGGGACACCCAGTCTCCACCCCCAACTCCACTCCCAAGTGTGAGCTTCCAGCCTCATTTTCCTCCCACAGGCCACAGCCCAGTTTCCTGGTACACTCCTAGGAGGCGCGGCCTTCCCTCACCTTTGAGAGACCCTTCAGGGCTGGCCATTTCGTCAGGACTGTGCACATCCCCGGGCTCGAGGCCCCACGACGACGCCTCCCGCTCCATCCCTGCCAGCTCCCAGTGCAGCGGCGGTGGCGACGGCAGACGATCCTGCAACCCAGTTCGAGTGCCCGGAGACCCGAGCCCTCGCCACCCGCCGATTCAGTGCCGCCCAGGAGGCCGGGCGGCCAGGCTTGGGCCGCGAAGGCCGGACGTCTTGACCCTGGGCCTCTCCGGCCCCGCCCCTGCCCGCGGCCCCGCCCCCTCCCAAGGTCTCTGCTTGTCCTGTGGCCTTCACCGGCCCTCGCGCGTCGTGGCCTTGTAGGTGAGCCGCTACTCTACTTCTCCGGCCGTGCCCAGGCACTACTCCCAGCCTGAGACCCCTCGTCTCGACCCCGGCCCCGGCTGAGCTACTGCTCTCCCTCCCGCTCTCCCCCACAGGAAGTGTCCGTCCCTGGCCAGTTTCCCCCGCTGGCTTGCGCCGCGGCCTCTCTAGGAGCGGCTGGAGGTGGAAACTCGTTGGCATTAACCCTGGACTGGATCTCCCCGGCGCGGGGGTGGGGGCGACCCGACGCCCCAGAGCCGAAGGGAAGGACGACAGCAGTTTGTGTGCCTACATCGCAAGTCTCGGCCTATGCAAGGACCTGTATGCAGATTTCTCGGACCATGTGCGGGTCACTAAGTGTGGCCAAGGGCGAGGCGACAAGCGAGACCGAGGTCAGCGTGAAGGAGGGACGCTTCCGAGTGCCAGCCAGGGTGGCAGTTAGCTCCTTTCCTCAGCCTCGGGGTTCATTCGGACTTGCCCGGGAACCTGGGCGGTCACCCATTTGACCGCATCTGCAGGCTCTGAAGCCCAGAACCCCGCCAGCCAGCCGAACTACGGCTGTGACACCCGCACCCACTCCCCATCCTGCTCCCTCCCCTCCCCCTTCCCGCGGCGGGCTCGTTGCCAAAGAGACAGCCCCGCCTCCGCGATACGAGGCACCGCCTACTCCGCCGTGGATTGGCAGCTGGGGCTGGCATTCTTGTCGCCACTTCCCAGCTCTTAGGCCATGGGTCACCCTGGCTACTGGTCTAATTGAGCTGAAAGCGCTCAGGCCTTTCTAACCCTTGCCTGTGTGAAATGCCAGCAGGAGTCAGAGAGGAGTTGCCAGGGGTCTGTTTCCCTACGAGCTGGATCTGTGCTTTCAAAACTCCATACATCCCCCACCTTACCCTGCGACATTTGTCCTGTATTATGAAGAATGGAAGCCGAGGACTCCTAGGCTAGACACCCTTTCTTCTCCACACTTCTGTCTGCCCACAGGTTTTACAGGTGCTGAGGGGCCAGTCCAGAGATGCTAACACAGGGCCATGTTTAGTTTCCCACCTTCCCGAATCCTGAGATCAATTTAATCTCTGGTTTCAGGATTTTCTCACAAGCATGCAGGATTATTTAGAGGTGAGGGTGACACCGACCACTAAAGGGTCTCGGAGGGGAACCCAACAGAAAGGATTCGAACTTTAAGGCATCTGGTTTGCATGGAGGCTTGTAAAGGAAGAAAGGTATCAAGTTCAAAGGAAACTCCAATACCCCAAACCACAAACAGCAGTCCAAAAGTACCCAGAAATGAGCTCAACATGTACTATGGAGGATTTCTGGTAGATAAAAACCAGCATTCCTCGGGGACTTTGTGAAGCTGGTTCCCCTCTATCAAAAGGAATCATTTCCCCTTACCTCTGGCAGAAGGGACATATGGCCTGCCACCTGTGGGGCCTATCAGCTTATCAGAGTACTGGCATCACTAACACGGTTACACATTTCAAAGGCCATGTTAGTATCAGAGCCTTCACATCTCCCCTACCCTAAACTCCCTCAGCTCCCTGGCTCTCCCCCCACCCCCAGCTAGGAATTCTCCTTATGACCCTGCTGTTCTCACTGTTCTCCCTCTCCCCCCTTCTCTTCTTCCACCTCTCTGTGTCCCTATTGCTCACTGGTTCTCTGTTCTCTACCCCTCACACACAGACACCTTGTCCTCTGCTGGCCATGTTCAGTCTATTTTCTCTCTCTGCTCTGGACTCTTCCAGAACTCTCTAGCTACTCTCTCCCTTAACTAAAATAAAAAACACAAAACACAAAACAAAAAAATCCCCCAAATTCCCCCTTAACCACACCATGGAGCAATCATTGTGTCAGTTTATACAGAAGGAAACCAGAAAACACAGAGCAGGTGCAGCTTAGAATGATGGAGAATGTGACCCTGGGGAGACAGTGACACCCAATCTAGTCACTTTCTACTCTTCTGCTAAAACAATTTTAGTAGCATGCTTGACAACTTGAACCAAATCCTATTTACATGATGCAGCAGCCATGGATTATGTGTTTTCTTGTTTCATAACTAAACAAACCAGGGGAAGAAACTGGTTAGAAGGAAAGATGGCACTCTTCTTTCTCTTGAAAAGAGATGGAAACAGTCATTTGGCAAATGCCAAGTAGAGAGATCTTAGGGAGTGGGACATGGTGGCAGGGAACTAAAATTCCAGCAATTGGCAGGCTGAGGCAGAAGGAGCCCAAGTTCCAGGCCAACCTAAGGGGGAAAGAACACTGTAGAAACCCATTTCAAGAGAAGCTTGTGGACATTATCACAAAGATCTTTGTGTTCCGCCTTGCTTCTCTCCTATAGCACCTCATTCTGCCCTAAAACCTTGCTCTGTGATTTATCACTAGGGAGCATCCACACAGAGCACTCTATAAAGAGCTGGGCATGGGCCACCTATGGTTATTTCCAGAGCACTCGCAGGTAAAAAACACACACCTTTACACAGTTTACACAGACAAGCAATGGGGTCCTCCAAAGCATAGGACAGAGTCCTCTAGCTGATATTCTGATATGGTCTACTGTTTTCACTCTTGGGCCAGATCTTGAGCCACCTAGCAACAACATTTCTACCTCCCAGCCTCCCTGGTGCCCAGAGAGGCCAGTCTGCCCCTGGACTGGAGTCTGTCTATACAAAGGACATTCAACCAGGAGCCCGCTCCACTTGCATACCCATCACAGTGAGTCTCTATGCAGGCAGTAAAGGTTTCTCTCACGAGGGTCACAACTCAGCAGCAACTAATTCAAGACAAAAAAAACAAAACAAAACAAAACAAAAAAAAGGCTTGGGGTGGGGAGGGTCTACTGGACTTCTTCAGGCACCATGTGGTGAAGAAGGGCCCTGTGCATATCTTGAGTCAGCATGCACTCTGCCCAAAGTACCACCTACTCTGCAGAGCCTAGGGCAGTGAACATGAACTTTTGGTCCAACCAACTTGGGCAACACTGCAGGGTCCATGCTAGAAAGAGGTTCTCTGCGTGAGAGACTTCTGCATGAAACTGTCCTTCTATATCCAAAGGAGAAGACCTGTAAAGGCGTGTGTCAGGTGCCTATTGTAAACCAGTGTGACTTCAGTTTCTCAGGAAAAGACCATGACACAGAGCCCTTTGAGAAGAATAAAGGAAACGAAGTGTCTTTGCATAAACTATCCTCTCACCTGACACCTTGGAATCATTACCCTTGACAAAGCTAAACGGAAATGACATTTAAAAAATGATTTAATGTGTATGCATCTTGTGTTCACATGTATGTCTATGTACTTGTATGCTTAGTGCCCTTGAATGTTATGGGATTTACCACCCAGTTCTGCAGCTGCCTTGCCCCAAATGAACACACAGAGATGCTGTATTAATTATGAAACTATTGGGCGGTGGCTAGGGCTTCTTATTGGCTATCTCTGTCTTAATTATTAACCAGTTACTATTAATCTATGTAGTTCCATGTGGTCTTGGCTTACCGAAGAACACCTGATGTGTCCTCTCTTCCTGAGCTCACATCAAGACTCCTCTCTGCCTACATGTCCCAGAATTCTCCTTCTCTGGTAGCCCTGTCTTTCCTTCCTGCCTGGCCACTAGCCACACAGTGATATATAAGTGCCTTTACATGTTTGGTAGGTTTATTTATACACTTATTTGTGGTGCTAGGAATTGAACCTTCTACATTTACCTAAATCCTCAGGCTGAAAGTGAGATTTCCCCCAATGTTGGGAAAGCAATCTAGAACTCAGTACATTCTAAACAAGTGTTGCACCACTTCTACCAGTAGGCTATAGTTTCAACAGAACTAATATTTTATTGAGAAGAGTGGAACCCTCAAACTTTAACAGGGATAAACTTCCATGCCTAGAGACTGATTTAACAGGTGAGGGGCAGGAAAGGAATGCAGTTCACTGGTAGAGTGATCCCTAGCATGACCAAGGTCCTGGGTTCAATACCAGCATTGAAAGAAGAGTAGGAGAAGGGGATGGTGGTACACCTGCCTTTAATCCCAGCACTGAGGGAGGAAGAGGAAGGCAGATCACTAAGTTCAAAACCACCAGGGTCTACAGATAGAGTTTTAGGATAGCCAAGGTTATAATGGGAAACTTTGTCTCAGAAAAAAGAAAGTAGGAAGTAGTGTAGAAGCTATCACCTGTTTTGGTGTTTGTTTTGGGCAGTTTTCCTCTCTAGAGGTGGGAGGGAAAACCTTACTCCTTACACACATCCAGTGTCTGGGAAAGAAATGAAGGCCTAGGGGTCTCCACCGCAAAGAAACAAGCTACATTTCAAAAAGGTGATGAGGCATGGAGGCCTGACTTTGATAACACCACTGCTCCTTATCTGTGGGTTCTGCACCCATTGATTCAACCAATCAGATCAAAACTCTTTGAAGGGTTGAGAATGTAAGTCAAAAATAAAGAGTGACTGCTTAGCATTCACGGAGGCCTGGGTTGAATCCTCAGCACTGGGAGAGTGGTGTTAGTTTCCATCTATGCTAAACATACACAGCTTTGCTTTGCCAGAATTCCCCAGACAGTGTAGTACAATAACTATTTACATAGTGCTACATTGTCCTGGATATTGTTAGTAATCTAGAGGGACTGAGAACAAAGCCAGTGGTAGAACACTTGCTAAATTTGTGTGCAGTCCAAAATTCAGTTTCCAACACAAGAAGAAAAAAGTAATCCTGTCTTGAACCCCCCTCCCAAATGTAAGTAATCTAAAAACAATTGTTTTCTGCAAACTACGGATGAGTTTGGGATCTGTAGATTTCATGAGACCATTTTCTCACTGACTCAGGATGTAGCAGCAGGAAAATCCCTATGGCTCTTTGTTCTGCCAATCTAGCCAAATGGGTTAGCTCCAGGTTCAGTGGGAGGCTTATCCAAAAGATAAGCTGGAAGAGGAAGAAAGAGGATTTCTGATGTCAACCTTTGGCCTCCACACATGCATATGCTCACATATGCCTAGAGGAGGATTCAGCTTCTTTGGGCCACAAACTTCTTTGTGTGTCCTCTTTCTGGAAAGACATGCAAATATTACAAGAAATTTGGCTGGGATCTATTGGAAGACCATACCTGCTGCTCTTGAGGCCAGTGATTCTCTGAGGAAGCCTCCTCCTGGCTTAAGATCCTTCTGTAGCAGAACTCAACATGTAGTAGCAGAAAATGAAAGCCTGCCTTTGGAGGAGGCATTCACCAAGAAACTAACTGAGAAGGGGTGCAGTTGGGCCAAGAGTTCTCATGACCCAAGAAACGATGCATTAAATAATGGGAGGTTAAGTAGCAGCAGGAAGTAGAGGATTTGGGTCAAGTTTCTGGGCCCTGGGCAAGCTTTGCAAACTTGAAAGTACTCTGAAATCTTAACATAATAACTGTGATACCTTGTAATTGACAAGCTGACAGTAGCAGCACTTTTGGCTTGAGTCTGAGTGAGGAACTGGCTCAGCAAGCTGAGCCCCATGGGTCAGCACTGAGTAACCAGGAAAGGCTGCAGCTGTTTTGTGAGCCTGTTCTCACCCTATGTCCTGTGACAAGGTGGCAGATGAGCCAATCACCCCAAAAACAGTACAGAGTTTAGGGAGGCCTTGGTGAGGTCAGATTTGAAAGTTAGTGGGGTGAACTCTTCATTACTCTACCTGAGCA